CGTACCCACAACGAATCTCGAACACAGCGCTGTATGCCAGAACCGAGCAGACCCCACTATCCCAAGTGACGTATAATGGGAAATATAAACCAATATACAAACCTCGGCTTCGCCTCGGTTGGTATAAAGGTTTATATTTCCCATATAATCAACTGGTTAGGTTATATTATATACATACAAAATACAATACAAAACTGTCCATAAAGTCTCACAACCCAAACCAAGGCTTGTGCGTGTCAAAGCCAATGCTGCGACAAAGTCCACGCTACCAGTACCACGGAACCGATTTGGCCTCAAGCATGGTACACATCCCACTAGGATCGTGAACCATGCTTATATCCGAGACAGCACATCTCTGCCATGGTCCCAGCTAGGTGGAGGTGGAGTTGAACAGTTCAGCTCCATGCAGTACCGGTACTGGTATTCGCCCACAGCCTGGTAATATGGTGAGCGCTGTGCATTAATACGACAAAGACTATAACCAAGAGTACATAACCCCCCAGAGTGTGCAACTCCCACATACCCTGCTGTCCCGACAGAATTTCAAGTTGACGTCATTATTTATGATGCAATGCTCCTTGCACCAGTGATTTACAACATGTGTACGTGTGTCAACGCATCACATATTTTTCTTTTGCAATAATTTGTACAGGATCGATCGGCTTCGGTCAACCACAGTTTCCGGATTCGTCTGATAATCCGTGTACAGTGCGCATTGCATCATCAAAATGACGTCAACTTGAAATTCTGTCGGGACAGCACCCATAGTGGAGTTGCACACTCTGGGGGGGGGGGGGGGGTTATGTACTCTTGCTATAACCCGTTCTAGGTCTTCTCAACCCCTACACGTATCATTAACCAACAACCCCTGACTCAAGTTTCTAGCCCGAGCATCATGGGAGTCATTGTAGACAGTGATATTTCTTGGTCTGGTCATATAGACTTCGTCGCTAGGAAGACTTGCACAAAGGTTGGCGCTCTCCGACGGTGTTTTCGGCAACTAAGGTTGAAGGCAAGATGGCAGTTTTTCTCTCTAGTTTCAACCGGTCCTAGGACTACAAGAAGCTCTTTTAATGCTGATATTGCAGTATCTAAATTCCGGACGACTGACGGTGTCGATTCCTTTCTCCTTCTAGTCTGTCTCATTTTGCCCCGAGATGTTTTGATGCATAGGATTATGACGCTCATCATTCGATCCCTTGTCACTAGACAGTTCTGTCCGTTTGGTTTTAGCGAATTCAAATGAAAGAAAACAAAGACAACTTTTGAAATCGGGCTACACTGTTCATTAATGGCGCACCCAGCACCGCACATCTACGTTTGCTGAGCACCTTCAGACCATGTAAAAAGACTCTGTCTTTTCAGAAGTATTTTGATCTTCTTTTCAGCAAAACGCTCTCATTGATCAGTAGGGGTCAGCGGGTAATGCTTGATTTTTCATTATTAATGCTTTCCATAATGCTTTTGTACTATACCGTAGAATCCCGCGGATAAGCCCATGGGCTTATCTGTTTCACAAGGACATTTCGGTGGGCTTATACGGGAACATGGGCTTATACGCCGACACCAAGTTGTGCCATTGAAAAGTATCAAGGAAGTGAGAAGTACATTGCTGAAAACCACTGTGCAAACAAAAACAACCGATGATTGTGCTGAAATGATTATGTACGAGAAAGAGGTAAGTGGTCAAAATAATGGTGTGTGCGTGCGTACACATGTTTGTGCGTGGGTGTGTGTGTGTGCGTGTGTGCGTGCACGTACATGTGTTTGTGTAGTATCCCTGCCCGACCAATACGGAAGCAGTACGGAACTAATACGGAGCTTTGCCTGATGTATATTTAGTGTATCTCCGTATGTAAGCGTACGGCGTCTGCTGCATATAAGCGGCTGCGCATTTCTGTTTTGATGAAGAAGATGAGATTTTGATAATAACGAGCTATTCAACCTCCAGGTGTGCACCGGAGAGAAAGTCAGTTATTTTGCCGCTTCTTCTTTCACTAATAATTATATCTCAGGTGTGTACCTGAGAGAAGAAGTAGAATAAAAGTAATTCTTGTTGATTTCACCGCGCCTACCACTCGGCTACCCATTACATTGGTGGCAGCGGTGTGTTTTGTAAAATAAAACAACGTGATTCGATCCCAGACCCCCATGGCTCAACCCGCTGCAGCTCTGTGCGACGAATCAAGATGAGAATCGTGTTTCATGCTTTCCTGGGCCTGGCCATGCTTATTAGCCTGCAGCACAGTCAGGGTGCTAACGTGGATCACCATTCTTTCCGCACGGCATCCATTGGAGACTCCGATGGCGATTCCAAGCAACCCGCTACCTACATGTATACTACCGGTGGTGATGGCGAAGCTGATGAGGACGACGACATGCAGGCTGCTGACCAAGACAAGGAGGGTATTCCCCAAGACCAGCAGCGTTTGATTTTTGCCGGCGCGTAGTTGACAGACGGCCGAACCCTGAGTGACTACAACGTTCAGCAGGGGTCCACTATTCACTTGGCACTTCGTCTCCGTGGTTGGATGCAGATTTTCGTCAACACTCTTCCTGGCTAGACCATCACTCTTTACGTCGCGCAAAGCGATGCTATCGACAATGTGAAGACCATGATTCAAGACGAGGAGGGAGTGATCTGTCTGACGCCGAGCTAGCCGCTCTGAGTGACCGGCTCAACCAAGATAAAGATAAAACCTGGCTCGCCCTCCGCCAATACTGGCCATAGCTCCAGCCGCTGCCGTGGTTACTAACGCTGATTCCAGGTATGGCATTTTCTTTCCTGTCTTCCTTCAGTCTCCCTGTTCTTTTCAGTCTTCCTTTATGCGAGTGTGTGAATCCAGTTTAGTTTGGTAGGCGTCTGATCATGGTGAGCCACGGCTTACCCAGCTAACGTGGGACAATGTGTGTGACAACGCCCCTTATAGATATAGTGTATTCAGTTCGGTTTTTGAACTGCGATGTTCCTGGCGGGTTGTGCCAGCGTTGTGCAGCAAGAGTGCTGTGGATTTTCAGGTCCTAGTTGGAGGACAGTTCTTTCCCCTTTTGACCCCGTGAGATCGTGTGAACCTGGTGTGCTTCTACTTTATGATTTGTGATCAGTTCATTTCTTCTGTCTACTCTAAACGTTATCATTTCCGATATATTATTTGCCATCTTCCGGTTGACGCTGTGTTCGTAACTCTTCACTAATTTTTTGAAAATCACGAGGGCGTGATTATCTGTAGGAAGGGAGGGTGTAGTATCCCTGCCCGACCAATACGGAAGCAGTACGGAACTAATACGGAGCTTTGCCTGATGTATATTTAGTGTATCTCCGTATGTAAGCGTACGGCGTCTGCTGCATATAAGCGGCTGCGCATTTCTGTTTTGATGAAGAAGATGAGATTTTGATAATAACGAGCTATTCAACCTCCAGGTGTGCACCGGAGAGAAAGTCAGTTATTTTGCCGCTTCTTCTTTCACTAATAATTATATCTCAGGTGTGTACCTGAGAGAAGAAGTAGAACGAGAGAGCTTGGAAGCTCAGGGCCCTGCGCTATGCTTTGTTGCCTAGCTCATCGCGCATGTTGTTAGAACTGATGGAAATGCTTTTTTCCTTTGATTAGCTACATCACTGTATTGCAAAAACGTTTCAATGAGATACTGAAGTACAAGTAACGTCTTCTGCATAGCTATGGGACCGGCGCTGACTCTGCCGATCACGGGCGTTCTGGAGTCGACGGGATGTCTGTCCTGACGTTTTCTGGGACCGGCGCTGACTCTGCCGACCACGGGCGTTCTTCTTCTTCTTATTATTATTATACTGACGGCAACTAACATCCATTCTGATCGCATTTACTCGTCTCCCTACTTCGTATTTCTTTCCAGAAAATCTCCCCATACAGCAGGGAGTCGTTTACATAATATGACTCCCTGCTATACATCTACATGACTGTATATAGACCTTATTCGATAACGTGACTTTTGGACTCGCCTCCAGGGATTTGTCATAAGCTAGGGCACGCGTACGAGAAACGAGTGGCAAGAAAGGCCCAGTTTGTACAAAAGAGTAGTAAAATACCGGTATTTATCTACTCCTATGTTCGCACACAGAGTCCACTGTGCACTGAGCGCAGATCTCTTGCCACTCCCTGGATCCCGGGACCCCGGTTCACGTGATTGTGACGTTTATCGAATAAGGTCTATACGTTATAATTATTATGCTATCGGCCTACATGCGATTCCCGGCCTGGTCGACAGGCGGCCCAGCCAGCCTGCTAGTGGGATCTCGGCCTCGCACACAAATCCACACAAAATTTAATGGTACTGCATTGAATGCATTCCCCCCATACACTTCGCATATATACTCATTCTCTTGATGGTACCGTACTCTTGATGGTACGGGACAGGTACGGGATAGCGCCAGGCATGTCGATGGCACAAACAAACAAAAATATTGTGGCCAGCTGTCTTTGCTGGTACGGTACAGTACGGGACAGATACGGGATAGCGCCAGGCGTGACACAAACAAACAAACACACAAACAAACACCAAATTAAAGCTGTGTGGACCCTGGCTAGCGCCAGACGTTACTGAAGTAACGTCTTCTGCATAGCTACGGGAATAAAAGTAATTCTTGTTGATTTCACCGCGCCTACCACTCGGCTACCCATTACATTTGTGTGTGTGTGTGTGTGTGTGTGTGTGTATGTGTGTGTATAATTATACGTGTGTGTATGTGTCTGTTTGTGTGTGTATGTGTATGTGTACGTGTGTGTATGTATATATATAATATATATGCGTGTGTGCGTGTGTGTGTGCGTGTGCGCGGGTGCTTGCGTGTGTGTGTATGTGCGTGCATACATGCATGTGTGCGTGCGTGCGTGCGTGTGTGTGTGTGTGTGAAGTATCACAGATTTTCGAATCACGTTTTTTACATTTGCCACCACACCACACCTGCGCTCTCCAGGCCGATCTCGACACCTTGCCACAGCACACCAGCAGCACCAAGGTGATCACATCCGTTGGTAATCATTTCCCTCATACAGCTGTTTTGAATGATAGTAAACGGAGACCGCAGTTTTGGTGTGGTGCTTGATGCTTTTCTCTACAAGGCTGAATACCGATGCTCACCGTTGTTGAATCATGTTTAAAAAATCATAAGAATGAGATCAACAGGTATATAGCAGTCCTTGGCTCTATTCTGCCAGAGACTCAAGCAGTAGCCGTGCTCGCATGCAGTGTTCTAAGTTCAAGCACGCTCGGTTTCAAGCAAGCCTAGTGCCTATACATAGAGTACAAAATACTCAGTGAAAGATAGCTGCGCAGTGTCAAGCAAGCGTAACAATGCAGGCCACGCACAAGGCATGTGCAAGAGAAATAAATACACAGGCTTGTGAAAAGCACAACGATGATATTCTCAACGATACAACAGCTCTGAGCCGTGCGATTTTATTACTAAGTCTCTCTGTCTCTCTCCCTCTCTCTCTCTCAAGCACACACCCACACACACACACCCACACACACACACACACACACACACACACACACGCACACACGCACGCTCGCTTATGCATGCACGCATACACTCACTCACTCACTGTCCTTCCGTGTTGTGGATGCCTACAATCTTGCAACAAAGATATCAGCCGTGTGTCGGAGGGCGCGCGTATCGCCACTTTCGTCGTCCACAGTCACGTCATTTGTAAAGACGTCGTCGAACCCGGAATAGTCCATGTCAGAGGGAAGACTGTCGGACGGAGATGACAGCCTCGTTTCCTTCTCGGCTGGTTCCTTGTCAAAGCCCGGCGATAGTGGTGGCGCTACGGCAGTGTGAAGTTCGTATTCAGGTGGTGGCGAGGTCCGAGGGCTTGTGAGAGAGTTGCTGTTGGTTGCCAGGAGCAGACTATGCCCGTTCTTCGCAGCGTGTCGCGACTGTCCCAGGCTTGTATTACTCGCAGGCATGCTCTTGAAGCGCCGTTGCCCGGTGCCTGCTCCATTGCTGGTCATACTAACAACGCGGGGCCGTGCGTCGCCTGAGCTCATCGTCGAGTAGGTGCGACGGCGTAGCGCCGAGCTCAGCTGAGATGCAATGGATCCACGTCGACTGACCGAGGAGAGGGCCTCGCTCCACTCCTTGCGTACCTCCTGTGCACGGGCCGTGTGCAGTACGAATATAAGGAATCCCTGAACACGTACATACACGTACATACAAACAAAAAAATAAACAAGCTTTGATTGTCCTTGTTGTTTTGTGCAGGAACATACATGTACAGTACATACATGACATTAGATAAACGTTGTATTGTAGAAACAGGCTTTTTATTTTACATTTTTCATTCACTATAATAGAAGCTGCTGCTATTTCGATTGTAAAAAACAAACAAAAACAAAAACAAAAAACACGCTTTTAGTTTGACAGCATATTACAAGGCGACCTGTTTCCGAACACGGTGTTCCACCGCCTTGTAATATGCTGTCAAACTAAAAACGTGTACATACATGTACGTGCATACAGAAGGGAGGAGACATCAGCACCGCACGACACCACCCTAAACAAACCTGACACCGCCAAGCTACAACTCGTCGCAGTGAGAGCACCATGCGCAGATCTGTTACTCTTCTCCATGGACGTCACAGTTTGGGGAATGCCATCACAATGAACAACACTGAGCAGCTCTACTAGTAGAAGACAGTTTGGGGAATGCCATCACAATGAACAACACTGAGTAGCTCTACTAGTAGAAGACAGTTTGGGGAATGCCATCACAATGAACAACACTGAGTAGCTCTACTAGCAGAAGACAGTTTGGGGAATGCCATCACAATGAACAACACTGAGCAGCTCTACTAGTAGAAGACAGTTTGGGGAATGCCATCACAATGAACAACACTGAGTAGCTCTACTAGTAGAAGACAGTTTGGGGAATGCCATCACAATGAACAACACTGAGTAGCTCTACTAGTAGAAGACAGTTTGGGGAATGCCATCACAATGAACAACACTAGGTAGCAACACTGCTCAGTGACATACCTGGAGTGTGTTGGAAATGGCGAAGGCGTATTGCATGGCGATATGATCGACAAGAACCACTAGTATGCCAAACACCCAGGTTAGTCCCAGTAGTAACGAGAGGATCACTACAACACGCACAAGGTACAGCACTCCCTCGTTGTCTTTCCTGCCCTTGCGCTTCATCGACGCATTGTTCTTGCCACGTTTGTGCAGCGATCGTATGATAATGGTGAGTATAGCAATGTTGTAGAGCAATGTCAGTGCCATTGGTGCGATGAACGCTCCGTAGAAGACATTGAAGTCACTTATCCAGCAGCTGTGGAGGGAGAAACGCAGCAACACATGTACACCCACCCACACACACACACACTGTACTTGTTCCTCACTGCCAAAAACTGGTCACGTGAGTCTCCCCGGGAGAGAGGAGAGAGACTCAAAAGGAATCTTGGAAAGATGACTCAATTGGTTATTGAACCGCCCAACGGCCGATACCCCCTGAAATCCCCAAAAACTCTGGGTGGACTTGAAAATGATCCCACTTATAGGCTCATCACACCTCAGTAAGTGGGTGAGGACAAGATGCAGAAAAAGGATTCACGGCATCAGGGTGTCCGTCCCGGGATCCAACTGCAGTTGCCCCTGCCCCCAGTGAAGGTAATACTTGCTACTAGTGTGAGTGGCTAAATCAAAGTGGATCTGATAAAAGCTTCACTAGTACCATTGATTGAGAAAATTAAAAAAATAAAAATTTCAAGGTCCGCATGAGACTCTGCTGGAAGCCGAGTTTTCCGCATCTGTGCGTAGGAACGCCATCACCCTCTAGGATCAAGGCGCAGATGCAGCATTGATTACACAAGAGTTAATCTAGCCGGAAGCAGTCCATGGTTAACAGGTAAGTATACTTCAAATAGAAAGTATATGAACCCTGGAACCAACAAAGGTGGCATGCAGGTACACCATTACACCTTCAAGGAGCCGAGCCTGTTGGCAACAGACCCAACACAATCAGGCATAAGTGTACCTACCAACCGAACTAGCTGGCACACACACACACACACACACACACACACACACACACACACAAACACACACATACACACACACAAACACACACATACACAAACACACACACACAAACACACACGGCAAAGTCATGAAGAAAGCCACCACTCGTGTAGAAGCATGTACTGAAGTAGGTGAGAAGGGTGTGCACTGATATACGAGGTCATATCTCAGCAATGGTTAACATTACACGAAGATAGGTAAAAGACTGGAGCCGGGGACATACCTCCATGCTGGGTTAGAACTACAGTAAAACCTGTCAAGGTGACCACTCAGATAAGGCGACCACCTGTCCTAGAACTTGCTAGAGGACCACTGAAACCAGGACCAAGGGATGCTATTTCAAGTCAAATGACCCTGGATAAGGAGACCACCTGGTTACAGAGACCACCTTTTGAAGGTCCCTTGAGCGGTCGTCTTAGCCAGGTTTCACTGGATTTATCCCAAACTAAAAATCAACACCATGTAGAGATGATTACATGATGCCCTGATAGGTACGACCCATTATCCTTAACCACGTACAAAGTACAGTCTGTGCGGAACATTTCGTATACGCATTTCATTTGTTCACATACAGGTCTAGTCTACCCTCATTAGTAAGACATCAGTTACACGACAAAACGGTCATTGCTAGACAATGATAACAAATTCCCTGACGCCTGAAACTCGTACAATAGTACTTGTTATAAGACAAGCAATTTGAAACCTCGGCGGTTACTGTAATTTCACAAATTTTCAGTGTACTTTTATCTTCGGTACTTTCGGTGCGTCTGTTTCATACCTAGGATTTCAAAACACCGAACAAACTCTAACGCATATAATCCAATAGGGAACTGCTATTCTGTACCGATATTGCTGGTCACCTAACCTGGCCTGTTGCCCTCATACCGAAAATATTCAGAACCGAAAATTTTCTGAAATTAGAGTACTTTTGGTATCTAACTACTAACCAGGGTAGACCTGCATCATGCATGCATGCTGCCTTAGTCTGAATCCCTGTATCATGCATGCATGCTGGCTTAGTGTGAATCCATGTATCATGCATGCATGCTGCCTTAGTCTGAATCCCTGTATCATGCATGCATGCTGCCTTAGTCTGAATCCCTGTATCATGCATGCATGCTGGCTTAGTCTGAATCCCTGTATCATGCATGCATGCTGGCTTAGTCTGAATCCCCGACACATGACGACGGTGTGTACATTAGTATATCAAACTTGTACTTACTAGTTCTCATTGGTGTAGGCGTCAAGTTTAGTCACTCCAGCCGTTATGCCCACTATGACCAGTGGTGCACCTGTTACCATGACAACACCACAGTACACCACACAACACATACACATTCTGTTGTCAAAGAACAATGCATGTACAGGATTCAAACCTGGCGGGTGCTGGACATGCGTGTAGACTATGCGAGTGCTGGACATACGTGGGCACTATGCGAGTGCTGGACATACGTGGGCACTATGCGAGTGCTGGACATACGTGGGCACTATGCGAGTGCTGGACATACGTGGGTACTATGCGAGTGCTGGACATACGTGAGCACTATGCGAGTGCTGGACATACGTGGGCACTATGCGAGTGCTGGACATACGTGGGCACTATGTAAGTGCTGGACATACGTGGGCACTATGCGAGTGCTGGACATACGTGGACACTATGCGAGTGCTGGACATACGTGGACACTATGCGAGTGCTGGACATACGTGGGCACTATGCGAGTGCTGGACATACGTGGGCACTATGCGAGTGCTGGACATACGTGGGCACTATGCGAGTGCTGGACATACGTGGGCACTATGCGAGTGCTGGACATACGTGGGCACTATGCGAGTGCTGGACATACGTGGGCACTATGCGAGTGCTGGACATACGTGGACACTATGCGAGTGCTGGACATACGTGGGCACTATGCGAGTGCTGGACATACATGTACGTGGGCACTATGCGAGTGCTGGACATACGTGGATACTATGCGAGTGCTGGACATACGTGGACACTATGGCACTATGATTTCATTTCATTTATCTTATTTTATTTATTTTTATTTTTTTAAGAAAGAGCTTTGCTGATGTGTTGTATTGCAACTCATGTGAAATCTACACCGTGATTGTTTTCGTCAAATATTATATCTTCTCTTTTCTCTCTCTGCCGCGATGCTTTTTGTTACTCCATTGTCTTGAGTTCCCTTTGGAACGTAGACGAGAAGTATTATTATTATTAATATTATTATGCGAGTGCTGGACATACGAGTGCACACTGTATCAATGCATGGACTCCCCAGACACTGTAATGCATACACTCACCATACACGATAGCCAGCACAGCTTTGGCAAACCAGGCCGGAGTGCCACCAAACACTTTCACCAGTTGTGTGTAGAGAAGCGCTGCCTCGGCCGACATCCACAGGAACGCAGACAGGAGAAGGTAGTGCATGATGATGGCCACGGACTGGCACGCAGCCTTGTTCGATGTAGCACGTATGCCAGCGATGAAGAGGATCATGATGGTGAGGAGTGTTGTACACAGACCAAACATCAAGCGTTGATGCAGACTGGCGCGTAGTTTCCTGTGCAGAAGTCAGCACAGAATAGGCACAAGCATGTTTATGTGTTAAGAGAGACACAAACATACACAAACCAACACATACACCAACGGTCACGCATACATGTGCGTAACAACATACATGTATGAAGGACTTTATCAGCTCTGCCTGTCTACCCGCCCGTCCATTCGGCCGCCCGTCCGCGTGTGCATGTGTTCATTCGTGTTTGCATGTGTGCGTGCATCCGTCCATCCACCCGTCTGCCTGTCCGTCCGTCTGTTTGTCTGTTTGTCTCAACTTATCTCTATTTATGCATTTTTGATAACAGGTAAAAGTAGGGAGCAAAGTACAATGAAACATTTTCGGACCATAGTGGTACATTGAGCATGCTCAAAACTCACTTGAAAATTGCAATAGTGATCATGGAGGCAACCAGCCCTAGCATAGACAATCCACAGCCGATGTAGGAGATAATCACCAGAACTTTCTCAGCTACAGTTTCCACACTGGATGACTCAATAGCTCTCCGTGACTGCAAACATCAACGGCAGCAGCAGCAGCGGCAAAAAAGCAGCAGCAGCAGCAGTGGAGGCACCATTATCATGCATGAATTGCATTCTCCCCGGGGTGCATTCTCCCTGGGATGCATTCTCCCTGGGGTGCATTCTCCCTGGGGTGCATTCTCCCTGGGGTGCATCCCCCCTGGAGTGAATACCTGGGGCACAAACCCTTGGCTGGTATACACAAAAGGGGATGGGTGGGGGAGGGGGGGGGGGGGGGTTACATGTCATCAGTGATTCATGCCCTTGGGATTACATGTTCCTGCATGGTGAAGCGAAGACCAGTCACTGTTGCCAGCATTGTTGCTTGGTCAGTCATCACAATACTACACACCACTAGCCACTATCAGCGGCGGATCCAGTGATCTTTACAGGGACTTCCAGTATAGTCAAAACTGAATAGCTGATACCTCTACACGGACAAGCCTATGGTTGCCAGCAGTACATTTACGAAATTTAAGGGGTTCCGTGAAACCTCTGGAACCCGCCCCGGACTATTGTACAGAGCACTAGTCACTATTGCTGAACTTACAACCAGGATGGCAAAGTTGGTCAGGTGATTACACTCGCACACAGCACGACTGCTGCCGTTGCTGATCAGAGAACATCCCTCACGACTCCAACCACCCTGGTTTTCATCTGAAACGAATCAGCATTAAACAGACACACACACACACACGTCACAAGATATCACCAAGTTCATTGGACAGGTGGAGCCGTGGACAATGCAGTGCAATCTCTGTTAGGCCACACCGTTTTTTATCTATGTTTCGCGACCCCCGCGCATGTATTTCACAGGCGGAGTTAAAAAAAAACGTAACATTTTTTTGAAAATGCAACAAACCCAGAAAGCCGGAAAAATGTACATGCAACCCCCCAAAAAACGGAACATGATTGTCACATGGTAACTATTATGTTGGCATCATTAATTTGTTCTATTTATCGCATGTATATGTGTGTATAATAAGCTGGGCCGCAAGTCACACAATCATCATGCCGCCTGTGTTTGGACCACATGCACAATGCATGGCATGGGGGATACACTCGTGTATTCATGTGTGCATGTGTGAATACTGAATATGTTCAATGACATGAACAGTGCCGCGTCGTTTCACTGTACACAAATGCAATGCACGTACACTGTTTTTTTTTAAAATTTGGATGGCTTTTTCTATTTTTTCGCCCTCCCTCATTGATTTCATCGAATATGGTGACGTGAAACATAGAAAAAACCGGCGTGGCCTTAGTAGAACCAAGGCAACATTCCGCCAGTGAAGAAGTAGTATACGTGAAGCGATTGCACAAATCGTTACATATGTACTGTGTATTGAATCAAGAGTGCATGAACAAGAGTGTGCAACTTTGGTTATGGGTCAGTGTGCGGCACGCTGCCTTCATTACGTAACTTGCCTTCATCACCCTCTGAAAGCATGCACTCAAACCCACAATTTCTCGTGCAAGTCCATCCGTTTTTGCTCGATTCATTCCAGTACCTACGTAATCTCTAAATTTTGGCGCGCGAACTCCATTTCCGTACAAATGTTCATTTCAAACGAGAGGGAAAGTGCGGTGTTTGATTTTCCGCAGTGCGCGGACTGCAGCCGGAATGATGTAATGAAGGCAGCGTGCCGCACATCTGGCCCATAGAAAAGAGATCACACTTGCATACACTTGTTTATGGACTGTTGAGTCTTGATAGAATGAATAAGCAGTACATGTAGTCCCGTTAGAACGAGATAGTTGTAGTTCTATGGATTTTTTTTCTTTTCTTTCAATCAATATCATTAATTGAAACAAAGAAAAATGGTGGCACCTATGTACAGGGAATGGCCCACGCCTGGTATAAAGTAAACGTATACGAGAAAACAAAAGATAGTTCTATGGATTGGTTGTGGTGCCTGGTCTAAAGAGGTTTGATTGTACACGGCAGCCGGAGTAGTGAATAGACTATTAGCTTTTAAGATTGCGGCAGGAATAGCGCAAGCTCCCACGTAGGGAGCAACACACAGTTCCCCAAGCTTTTAAGATTGCTAGTGAAATTAACACTATACTGTTACTAGTCCCTTCTTACTCAATGTGAAGTCCCAGAAGACGCACTCCAGCTCCAGAGTTTCATTCTCCGGCTGTGAATGCAAACACACATGAACACACACACATGCACACCATGTACCGTGTATGCGCACATGCATGCACAACACACATGCACACCATGTACCATGTATGCGCACATGCATGCACAACACACATGCACACACACATACACACACACACACACATGCGCACACACACGTACACACACACACACACACACACACACACACACACACACGCACACATACACACAAAAGCACACAGTTACACACACAAAACCGCACACTCTCTCCGCATTATGTTCCCTTGCCTAGACGTGGTTGAGCCCTCTTACTTCTTTGCGTCAAAGTAATCTACCTTGTTGTTCATTAGCTGTGACGGAATAAACCAGTACAAGGGAAAACTCCAATTGAACAAACCATTTTTCTCGTACGTGTAACAGCTCTGACCTCTGTTGTTACTTTCCGGTAAGTCATCACACGCAGAGGTCAAGACATCAACCGGTCATGTAATCGAATTCCTTTCTACTTTAGGTCGGACCCTAGAGCACTACCATTCCGTCTGTAGGCTCCCTCGATCCCTCACGACCACACACTCAAGCCCCCAAATACGGCTTGTTTACAGGAATTTGTCTAAAAGGAGAGTAAAAAGATCCACAAAAGCTAGCCTGATGCCGCGAGGTTCATGCCCTCACGCGCATCAAAGAACCATAGCAAAAATGGCGCACAGCATGATCAGATCACATGATCATGCTCTGCTCAGCGATTCAAGGCGAGTCAACATATGATAACTAAATTATTTGAATCTTTCGAAAAACTACGATGTGAAAACATTAGTACATTTAGAGAATTATTTGAACAAGATCGAAGGAGAAGATTGATTACTTTCTAATGAACTGCAAATCATGCAATTCAATTACAGTCAAGGGATGAAGAAATCAAGATATCAATACATCAAGAGAGAGGGAGAAAGAGTGAGAGAGAGAAAGAGAGGGAGGGAAAGAGAGAGAGAGAGAGAGAGAGAGAGAGAGAGAGAGAGAAAGAAAGAGAGAGAGAGAGAGAGAGAGAGAGAGAGAGAGAGAGGGAGAGAGAGAGAGAAAGAGACAGAGACAGAGACAGACAGAGACAGAAAGAGCGGAAGAGAGAGACAGAGCGCACAGAGAGACACACACACACAGAGCTAGCTATCCTGCGGGCCCCATGTTTTAAATTGAGACAGTTGTTGACTTTTAAAAAACTCACTGAGATTGCTGGCAGATTGAGGTTGAATGACATCAAGGCACTCGCACCATCGAGTGGAATACGCTCCTCTTCTCTACCAACCTGAGCAGAGACAATCTGCGATGCCACAGTTGTTGTGGCTCCAGCAGCTGTGCCTGTCAGGTTGATGTCCTGAAAGAGAGAGTCGGTGCGATACAAAATAAACTGGGTCTGTGCAACTTGGCACGATGGCGTGCTGGAGGAGGTTCCGTTAGCGTCTGGCGCCATCGTTGCCCTGCCGCGTGTTGCAAAATGTATAGCGTTCGCCGGTAAGTCAAAGGCAGCTTCATCAGTGCTCTCTATGAAGTGAAAAAGCAGACACACGAGGGTGTGTGAAGGCAAAGTGAAGAAGAGGCAAGCTCTCACTCTTGGTGAGCGCACATCGTACTCGCGTGATTAGTGCCCTTGGGACACTATTGTTTTCCAAGTCCATCACAGACGGGGCACTATTCAAGAGAGGGAACTATTTTTGCAATGCTAGTAAATTGACGCCGTCCAGCATAAAAAACATAGAGAGGAAAAGGGAGCCTAAAGTTTACTGTTAACTATCACGACTCTACACAAGCGTCAACAAGAACTGCGATTTTGATCCTGAAACCACCAGTGGATTGTCATGGACAAGAAAATTAGCAGAACAGCACCAACCTTGCCCATGTGCTTAGTTAGAAGACTGGGGGGGGGGGGGGGGGGGGGGGGGGGTGCACTATTCAAGATAGGGCTCTATTATTCATTGGCTCTCCCAGACTGGGGCACTATTCGAGAGAGGGCGCTATTCAAGAGAGGGCTCTAATAGTGCGAGTACGGTATGTGTGTGTGTGTGTGTGTGTGTGTGTGTGTGTGTGTGTGTGTGTGTGTGTGTGTGTGCGCGTGTGTATGTATGTGTGTCAGTATGTCGTGTAGTCCATGTACCTATTCTCCGCTACCACAGCCCACACTCATGCACTACAATTTACCTCGACCTCACGTTCACACTTACCAAAGTAAACATTTAAAATATTTTACACTTAGACGACAAACAATCAAACAAACACACACACACAAATACAGACACAAATATACACAGAAATATGCGAACATACAGGAACACACATACCAATATACTCACAGGCTGTTCGGCATAAAGACAGACACACAGACAGACAAAAATATATACGGACAGACAAACGTACGCACAAACAGACAGACACACCAACAGATACGTGCAGAGACACACAGACAGACACACGGACAGACAGACAGACAGACAGACAGACAGACAGACAGACAGACAGACAGACAGACAGACAGACAGACAGACAGACAGACAGATAGACAGACAGACAGACAGACAGACAGACAGACAGACAAACAGACAGACATACCGACAGACAGAGAGACAGAGAGACAGACAGAAAGACAGACAGACAGACAGACAGACAGACAGACAGACAGACAGACAGACAGACAGACAGACAGACAGACAGACAGACAGACAGACAGACAGACAGACAGACAGACAGACAGACAGACAGACAGAGAAACAAACAGACAGACATACCGACAGACAGACAGACCGACAGACACACGCCCAATCAAGCACCTTCTACAGATGTAGTGTTAATGGTATCAGTGACTGAGAAAGCATCACCACTAGTACCAGCTGCAGCGCGGAATGACTGTGGAACGACTCGCCCGGGGCAGCTAATGGCAAACCCAATGTTCTCAGTTACACTGGTCAGTGGCTGTCCCTCCTCGACTTCCAGCGACGTGACGAGTCTCTCCATTGTACGAGCAATGCTGTACACACCATACCACACAAACAAAGAACTGGTGATCAGCATGGTTTCAACCACTAATATTTTTTAATGTGCTGTCTAGCACTAGGGGCTTAACGTGGTGTAAGTCACTCTTTCAAAAGTCTTTTAAGTTCTATTATATATGTACTATTGGACTCGGATGGAGAGCCAATGAATAATTTATATAAAAGAAACCAAGGACCAAGGAACTACAAGTTATGCCAAGTTGGAAGGCTGTTGGAGGGCGCATCCAAGATGTGCTAGAGCTGTTAGCCAGTTAGTTGTAGAACGTCAGTACCGTCGGTCAGTGTCATGCAATGTTATCACATGAGCTGATTGTCTAGTAACTGGTGGTGTCAGTGGACATTATAGCGTAACTTGTAGTTCCTTGATCCTTTTCCTTTTCTATAAATAGATGTACTGGGCATGGATATGAGGGTTGCAACCAAGGAAACATAGCGTGGTGCTGCACCCCCCCCCCCCCTCCCCCACCCGACTCTTCAAGTTTTGGTCGCCCCTTCAACATTGTTATAGGCATACCTGTGCTGCTTGCAATCTCCCTCACTGTTCTCTGATGATTAGTTTAGAAACTGTCGAGAACTGCCATTCACAAATGTTTAAAATGCATATGAATTTAGTGTTCACGTCTTACTTGAATTTCCTATAGTTTCAGTCTGCAACTCCGTCGTCTTTCTCCTTTTCTAACTCAGTATTTCCAATATCTGACAGTGCTGCTCTCACTTCTAGCTAGGTGCAAGCACCCTCCGCCAGACGAAAAAGTACATTCTTATTTCTCTAAAAACTCTCAAATTCCTTTCTCCTTCGCGTTTACTTTCATGCTGCAGTTTATTTATTTATTTTCCTTTCTTTCTACCTCATGGTATACGCGCTCCATGCGCCACCATCTTTGTTTCCATGGCACCACAGTGCACCTGCACAGCTCAGGCCCAAATGGGTCTGGGTGAGCTGCGTCGTGATTTATTTGGCCTCTCCAAGTACGTGTACAACATACGCTTGCTTCCGAGCACCGCCGTTTTCGGAGCGTACTCATTGCGAGTCTGACTTCTTTCTCCGGTGTTTGGGTCTCCTTGGTATTGGTTTTTCTTCTTCTTGACTGAACTTGCAGTTACTAGTTGATGAATGGACAATGGTGGTTTGTGTGTAGTAGTGTAAGCGTGTGCATGGTTGCAAAGGTCTTCTATAATCAAAACGATAAGATTTGACATAAAACATGAAACGTCTCTGAGTAACAACAAACGAGCCCTTCCTCTCCTTTGCGTACCCCTGCGTACCTACAACTCTGGATAGAAGGCCAGGACATGGGATTGGTAAGGGCCGTGACGAGGGCACGGGATGGGGGCAGGGACAGGGGCATGGGATGGGAGCATGAGATGGGGGCAGGAGACAGACAGGGGATAGGGGTATGGGATGGGGCAGGGGAGGCGCAGGGGATGGGGCAGGCAGGGAGGGGCAAGGGGGGGGGGGGGGCTGCATTCGACCCAATACTAACGTTGCAGCCGGTGCGGACTCAATCTCTGTTGGTGGTGCATCAAGAATGTTGTCCACCGAGAGTCCAGAACGGAACCAGCAATCTGTGGACAGACGCACAGACAGATGGACGTACAGACAGATGGACGTACAGACAGGTGGACGTAAAAACAGACGGACGCACAGACGAAGACAGAAAAACATGCATACATGCACAGATGCAGAGTTGTGTTCATATCAAACGATACTCTGACTTCGATGGATTAACAACTTCGCGTCTACTCAGAAGAACGAAACACAACCACACTCTCGTCCAAATCCCCCAAAGGCCATGCACATTAGTTTTACTGGCAAATCACAATCAATCCACAGATACATTTAATTATTGCTGTACTGGCATCATCTCACCTCTCTCCCCAGGGTCTGATTGAAGTCTTCATCACTGCTGGTGGCCAGAATTAGATTGGACAATGCGGTGGCCGCAAAGTCGATATCGGCTTCGGATAGCGACGAGGCGTTCTTCGTCAGGTTGTCAATGGTTTCTGTTGTCATGACGAGGACCGTTGGCTCACTGGTGTTGAATACAATCTGTAGACACCGAGGAAGACAAGAATAATAGGTTAGCTGCACCGGTGCATTCTGTTCGGCAATGAGGACCATGCTCCATACAACCACCTGTTTACTGCTACGAATGTCATGTGTACCCACACCATATCACACACAAACTGTATGAATGTCATGTGACAGTGTACCCACACCATATCACACACAAACTGTATGAATGTCATGTGACAGTGTACCCACACCATATCACACACAAACTGTATGAATGTCATGTGACAGTGTACCCACACCATATCATACACAAACTGTATGAAAAGGCACTGAAACTACTGGACCAATCAAAAACTGCTTTCGCCCTGTTGTGAAACTGCAAAACAAACCTGCAGCACAGGGATTGGAACCAGAGACCTCCACCAAAACCATAAGGAGTGAGACAGCAATACTCGCTAGTTACCGCTGACATCATAATGACGTCATGATGATATCGTGACCGCCAGTTTTACGTATGGAGGAGCGTGGCTTGAGCGGGGCCTATTTGAGTAGCGGCTCTGCTCCATTGTGCCCCCCCCCCCCCCCCCCCGAATCTCCACATTCATCCTCAGTCAATAACAGATACGAACCTATCGCACAATGGTGTAGTCTGCCCCCCCCCCCCCCCAAACAGCACAACCGCCTGAACATGATTGTGTAGGGTCACACCTGCGTACTGAACAGTACAGTGCGGATCCTAGTGAACACACAGCGATTACCCAATGCAATCCATATCAGCAATGCCCCAATGGGGCTAGTTTTACTCACGGATGAAATCATCTGTAGTTCTCTAGTGTTGGCTGAAGCGAATGGACAGTCACTGGTATTAGCCATGGCCCATGTAGACATGAACACGTTTGGACGACTGGTTCGGGGGACTGGACACGCACATACGCCTGGCAAACTGTGTTGCCTCATTCTCCACCACGATACCACATGCTTGCACACTTGTCGTTCCCCGAACTGTCTCTGGCCAGATTACACTGCCCCGGAGATCAGTAGTGACGTCAGCTGGGCATACATCTAAAGTAAGAGAAGGGAACAGAGAGAGAGAGAGAGAGAGAGAGAGAGAGAGAGAGAGAGAGAGAGAGAGAGAGAGAGAGAGAGAGAGAGAGAGAGAGAGAGAGAGAGAGAGAGAGAGAGAGAGAGAGAGAGAGAGAGAGAGAGAGAGAGAGAGAGAGAGAGAGAGAGAGAGAGAGAGAGAGAGAGAGAGAGAGAGAGAGAGAGAGAGAGAGAGAGAGAGAGAGAGAGAGAGAGAGAGAGAGAGAGAGAGAGAGAGAGAGAGAGAGAGAGAGAGAGAGAGAGAGAGAGAGAAAGAGAGAGAGAGAGAGAGAGAGAGAGAGAAAGAGAGAGAGAGAGAAAGAGAGAGAGAGAGAGAGAGAGAGAGAGAGAGAAAGAGAGAGGGAGAGAGGGGAGAGAGAGAGAGAGAAAGAGAAGGGAAGAGAGAGAGGGAGAGAGAGAGAGAGAGAGAGAGAGAGAGAGAGAGAGAAAGAGAGGAAAGAGAGAGAGAGAGTGAGAGTGAGAGAGAGGGAGAGAGAGTGAGAGATACAGTCAAACTCGTGAACCTCGGGTACTCATCTCACATACACTGATATACCATCACTCACCATATCTGAGCACAGACACTGAAGTAGCATCAAGTGTAGCAGGCGAGCTTCGTCCAGCCTGAATTTCTGTGACAAGATACAGGCGTAGGCGGTTAGCGAAAGATCCATTCCCTGACAATGCTGATACGGAACTGCTGGATATCCGCACATCCATTTCCACAAAGACCGGGTTCTGCAGTGTAACTCCATTTGTTCTGGAGAGGAAGGGGACACAAATCAACAGAACAAAATTAAATTTGACTGATCGTCCATACGTTGCAACTCAGGGGCGGATCCAGGAGGGGTTCCAGGGGTTCCGCGGAGCCCCCCCCCCCAAATTTCGTAAATGTACTGCTGGCAACCATAGGCTTGTCCACATACATGTATCAGCTATTCAGTTTTGACTATACTGGAATCCCCCGTAGAGATCACTGGATCCGCCGCTGCAACTGGTATTGGTGAAGGGAAGAGCTTTTGACTGGTGCCAAGCACCTCGTATGCGGAGGTATTTAGTGACCCGGCGCCTTTTCTAATGCCTAAAACTGGGTGATGCCATATTACAGAGGTCTGGCTATACATGTACAGTCCGTATCGCCTATAAGATTGGCGGCTATAGTAATATACCGGATATAGTGATCAATTTCTCAAATTCATTTTCATTTGCCATAACTAAGTATACACAGTTATCGCGTATAGTAATAATCATCTATAGTAATATTTCGCCTATAATGATCAAATTCATATTTCAAAAGACCTTTATTACATTATTTTTTCATCGGTTATAGTGATTGATATAAAATCAAGCGCTGTCAGAGGAGAACAGGGTGCTACTTTTTCGTGAATGACTTGTGCAGTGAGTGTTGTTTGGTGAGTTTTGCTCGTACAAGTTGCCAAAATATGCCTCCATCATGAGGAAATGCTGATTTTGTGTGTCAGGAGCTACAGCCAGCTACATGACATTGTGCATGTATGTAGTGCGTATGTGCACGGCGCGCTGAGTCGTTTGACACCCCACTCGCATACATTGCATGCAGTATCGGTCATAGTAATATGGGCCGCGATCAGCTAAAACATGTCTTTGGGGTTTCATAAAAAAAGTTGGGAAATGACGAAATGAAAAAAATGTTTTTTTGGAGCGCTTTCACCCTGCACTTCATTCATGATTCATGATGTGTCGATCATCTTCTCAAATTTTGTTCAAACACTTGTTTGGCGTTCTACTTCAAGTAGCTGGCGAGCAAACACTGACAATGTCGCATCTAGTGATACTAGAGCAGCTCGCAGGGCCAGACGATCGCTGTGCATGGCCCAGGTTTGTTCAGGTGTCTGCAAGTCCGTGGCGGCGGGTCTGCAGAGCGACGCTGACAATTAATTTTTGTTGGGATCTCATTGATGTTGATGTCGACAGCGAAGCTGAATCGTCCCCGTCGTCTCCAGTAGCGAAGAGGCACAAGTTGTGGGCTAGTACATAATCATTTAGGCGGCGAACCGGCTGCCTTACGACGTTACTTGCGCTCAGCTCTCATGAGGCGTCTGACGCAGTCTCGGAAACGGAGGCGACGATCGAAAGTGTCACTGCCAGAATTGAAAGAGTATGCAAGTGCAACGCCGCCCAGCGCATCGTGTTGCTTTCCAGGAAGAACTTGGGCCATGCCTTTGAACTGATGTTGTTGACATGCTCAAGTCGGTGTCAACATCTTTAGTTCCGTTGTATTGTGCTCCGCCACAAAAGCCACTAAGTAATAGTTTGTCTCTTTGTGTCAGACTGTGCGAAAACTGTCATTTTCTATTTCAAAGTACATATTTTGAAAGCGGTGTTTGGGGCACTTGTAGACTACTTTTCTGCCCTGTATCACCTTCAAGAGGTCAAGTAAGGTCCCAAGAACTGTTTCTGGAGGAAAACAAAATTTGAAAATTTTCACCCTAAGACATGTTTTAGGTGGTTGTGGCCCATATATCGCTTATAGTGATAAAATGTTCAAAATCAAACACCAACGCTATAGGCGATACTGACTGTATAGGGGGAATTGCATGCCATTGTGGATACTCATACATGTACATAACACAAACCGTGTCGCACTAAACCATCAGTGACAACTTACCTGAACTGTATAACTTGTGCAGATGGCAACTCAACAGACACGGACGGTATTGCCTGCAGCAGTTGTTCAAGCTGTACACATAGCAATAAGAGAGAGAGAGAGAGAGAGAGAGAGAGAGAGAGAGAGATTGGAAGATATCTCTTGCAGGGAACACGATAACGGTCGGACATCGGACATTTTCTGACCATTTTTCAAATCCGGCGCTTTTTTACTTGAACTGACAATCTGTCCGACCGAAATAATTGAATAGCGTCGCTGGGAAAGAAAACGACTGAGGATAGTGGCACTCTGCCTGGGAAGAAGTCTCAAGAAGTTAGAGCAGCAACCTGTGACAAGACGATTTTACAGCATGGTAGGGAGCTGTCCACTTCAGCGTAGCTCCAGTTTGAACGTAGCAAATGATCGAGAAGGAGTTTTCATTCTTTTGAAATAAAAAATTCTCGCTTCCTGGTGAAGCTAGGAACTATTCCGCGACGCGCTTGTATGATCCGAAAAATTGAAAACGTTCATGTTCCAGGGGAAACGAGGTGTCCGAAATGTGCCAGCTTGCGATATGCCTCTATCGAAAGAACCCAATCAAGTACTGTAAATCAACAAATTTTGGCCGATGAGAAACTTTGGCCGATCTCGAAATGAAACTTTTGGCTGTCATTTAACTTTGGCCGATTTGGGTTTTCAAAAAAGAAATCGATTGGTATTTGTTGCCCTCACATGCAGCGATGGCTCAATAATGCATCATTTGCCTCTATGACACATTTTGGCCTGCGATTTACTTTGGCCGGTTGGTACCCAGCGGCGAAATCAGCGAAATTAAATCGCCAGCGAAAATTAGTTGATTTACAGTACGCTCCTGTCGCACAGGCGCTGTGCAAGACCGATGAAGCAACAGCATCGAAAGTTAGTCTTAAAAATTCAACGTCACGTAGAATCTACCTCCTGTGCAAATAGCACAGTCATCACGTATGCAAAGATGGGATCCTTCAGCCAACTCGAGTACTCGTAGTGATATGGTGTCGAACTTGGAGCTGGCAACAAGAACGGGCGAGCAGGTGCCCACTTAGTCTTTGCCTTTTGCTGACTTCATAAAAATTACGTTGTCGCAGAAAAACCAGCTCAAATTCGATATGTGCAGAAACACTGCACGCTCACAGTCACACAGTCCCAGTTACTGTGTTTGCTGCACAATGCACAGAGATTTGAATCAGAGTTGCAGCTATACCAGTGATCTGTGTGATGGGACTTGTAGCACCGCACTGTAATACTAATTACATACCAAGAGCATTTACTCGTGGTAGCATGTGCATGTGCAGTGTTTTCGTGTACGTGTATGAAGGTGGGGAAAACTAAGAGTCCCAGACGTGTACTTGTACAAGTATCACAAAATCTGCTAAATCACAGTGTCCGGCCATGTCCGACCGTTTCCAGGAGTGGCAGGACACTGTCTCAGAGCAATTTCGAAATCTTATCGTGTTCCCTGCTCTTGTAATGGTGTATTGCCACGCAGGACTGGAGAAGGATGTGAGGTGAATATTTCTGCAACTATGCACTGTAAACTAACACACACGCGTGACGGGGGGGGGGAATCAGTTTGGTGTGCGCCTGTGAACTAATGCAGAAAGTAGCGTTAGTGTAGATGCATGGTAGAACTATACAGCAAAGCTGGTCTTACCGTCCGTTGTACGTCAGCAGCCACACTGCTGCTTGACACTCCGCTGTAGTTGCCAGAAATCTTGAAGTCACTGGAATCTGAGAAATAGGAGTACGGAAGTTTCAAGGTCAAATGTATGCAACACATGATATGTGGAGTTGCTAATGCGCACACGTTTTTTCATATCCTTCAGGCACTGACCCTAGTTGAAGTCCACCACAACTGAGGTGCAAAGCTGGCATGCTGAACTAGTTGCCATTACATCATTGTCTTGCGTATCAATGTACTTGAAGCCTCTTGTAAGGGGAAAATCCCACCATGAATCGTAAGTAGAAAATGTCCACACTTTTTTCACAGTCAATATTTGGATCAAAAACTACACGTCTATGTGAGAGAAAAGCACCCGAGAAAGTGCTCTAAAGAGCAAGTGTTCGATGATATGGCTACGTTCCCAGACATGTGAGATGACAGTAGATGATAGATGCCACGTCACTTGGGCAAGGTAGGGCTACAGCTTGTCAGCTGGACAGAGTCTTGTTCCAACTCTTTATGAGTAACTATATACACAGCCATTGACAGGCTTTGCAGGTGATTTGGCCCAGTATCAGCGAGAATCGACCTTCGGGTGAAAATCATTTTTTTCAGAAAAAGTCATTTTCTGCAACGGCAAAAAACTCTTGCTTCGCGCTCTGCACATTCAAACAAAAAATTAGTTCATCGCAACAATGAATGCTTTTGATCGTCCCAGTAGCAGGAGAGTTCGCTCACGATGGCCAGCTAGCTGCCGTCCGGCCCTGCCAGAAGTCATTGGATTTCCTAGGCAGAAATCGTCGCGTCTGATAGAGAACGACGACAGTTTCCAGAAGATGTTTTTGTCGACGCGCAATTCCTATTTAGCGACGAGAATTTCAACTTGATTTAGGCGCTTCGCCAAAGCTCTCTGCTGGCAAAAGTACTTTCTGACATCTGAAAATCCTTGTAGGGCCCTTCTGAATTTAGTACAGCTCCGCTCAGGAGAAATACTCAACGAGGAGAAACTAGTGAGGCGACGGCAACAGAGGTAGATGAACTGAAACGCCCTGGATCAACTCGAGTCAGGACGAAAGAGCGCTTCCGCTAGTGACATGATCTGAATTTTCCCAGGCTCCCCACACTGGACTCCGTGGTGAACACCAAACCCCTTGGACGGGGCAAGAGCTGAACATTGATTGATGAGCTACGAACTCTCTGCGCTCAGTGCTGGAATCATGGCGCACTGACGCGCATGCAGCCAGTTCCCACAGAGCTCAAATTTCACAGAGGTGCAGCAGTCATAGTGATGGACCACCTCTAAATCTTGTATGAGATGAAGTGTGGGGTGTTAGAATGTTGTGCCTGTGTCGTATTCCCTGTGGGATGCACAGACTGGGACTCCAGGTGTAGTTGTAGCCACCTTCCCTCCTGTTCTGGACTTCTGTGGATTTTCAGCAGACTTGGGATGGCGTTCAAACAGTTTTCATTGGTATGCAGTGATGAGGATCAAGGCCATCCATGCTCTATGCCAGAGGTTGCCCAAGAGTTGTTTTACAACAAAAACTGGATGGATGATTTATTACACTGTCAATTTTTCATTTATTTCACTGTAACACATAGTATTCCGATGTGGAAAACACTGTGATAAATTGTCGTATTTCCTGATATGTACCTATGCTTGTTTGAGAAGCTTCTGGGTCATCAATATTGCTTTGTTCGGTCTAATACTTTGCCATGTGATCACTAGATACCTATAGATGACAATAGCAGAAAAAAGTCATTTTGTGAAAAATCACCCTAAGGTCCATTTCCGCAGATACTGGGCCATTTGTCTCTCGCTTTGTTTGACTTGCATTGTCTTAGGCCACACTTTGTTTCTTCTATGTTTCTCGTCGGCAAATTTTAACAGAAGGTATGCGGGCGGGCGGAAAAAACAAAAGCCATGAAAAATACGTAGAAAGGAAAAGGACATAAGGATACGAGTTAAGAGTAACTCTCCATCACTGTAACTGGATACTATATACAGTCAGAAAGTGCAATAACTAGGCACACAACTGACAAGAGTACTGAGACATTCATGAAAAAAAACAAGAACAATTTCTACTGAAAACTGTATACATTTTGTATGTGTGATTTATACAAGACACTGCGAGTACTACATACTCATTGTGCAATCATGTACTAGTAGTCTCATATACATGCCAAAGAATATGGTTGCACTACATTATCACATCAGCCCACGAATATCAGGAAAACTGCGAGAGTGTAAAGTTTCATTACGAGATGGTCAAGAGAACATGCATTTATTTGCTATCGCATCAACAAACGCTTTCCCACTCGTCACTTTTGGTTTGTTATTTCAACGTTCTTGTGCCCGCTTATCAAACTCTTGTCTCCACGCTGCTCATCTTTTCCTCCTCGCCATGCGTCTATTGCTTGGACATTCTGCCCACGACATCGTTCCACAGACACCAGTTGGCACGGAACTCATCCGACTTACGATATTCCTGGGACCCGCGAGGCTCAGGCAGTGAACGATTAAAACTTCGTTACGGCAGCCTTCATCGCAGAGAATGGACGGTGAGCGCTCCTTTGCTGCTGTGGACCAGTGTGGTGCAAACGTTTACGATTTTGATTGACACATCTAGTTACTACAGCATGTGCAGCCTACATACATGTACTGTGACAAGTCTGAACTTATTTTTTTCTTTTAAAATTTCTAAAAACCTACGCGGGCGGTGACGAGAAACATAGAAAAAACAAAGTGTGGCCTTAGAGGGTAACAAGCACCCAAACCTGAGATGATAGGAGACACCTTTCCCTTACAGCTACTTGGCAAACCATAGCAGTTACCTACATAATTCTTAGAAGGTGTTCTAATGGGAGTAGTATACTTACCAAGTACATCAAGTTCTACATCGGAGTGGGATCCCTGCAGGTTGGCTATATTGGTGGCGATACACCGGTATAGTCCACGATGGCAGTCTTGCATCGAGCCTATTACCAGAGTTGTTGTGCTGCTGCTGTCGTCCATTACCGTGTACGGACACGATGGGTTGTACGCTGCACATCCATCTGCAGCCTGCGATAATGTCATGGTGATGTCATCATTGCTCAGCTTGCACCACCGCGGTGTAGCCTGCGGGTATCCTCGGTAGCTACATGTTAGCCTGACTTCGGTGCTGGCAAAGACATTGCGCAATGTGGCCGGTAGAGGATCAACAGCAGCTGGCACTGCACACACGAGAACAGACGTAGAACAAAGGAACACTGATTTGTGCTGTAAAGTCTGTCTATATAAAACTGGCGCTCTACATTTTCGTGTCTTGCTGGTAAAGGGGTACGCATACTGGTAGTGCAAACAACTAGTTGAACATCCCGCATTGGTTGACGAGTGCAATTCTTCCTTGCCATAGTCAGGGCCAGAAAAATCAAAGATTACGGAACTAGAAATTCCAGCACATTCTTCAAAACTTTGATTAGGACAGATATACCATGGCATATACCGGTATATGCAGCAGACCATCCCTAACCCAAAGTTTCGAATTTGAAGTGGGGTTTGAGCCTTATTTGGCCAAGATCGACCTTTCAAAAGCCAGCCGGACCATTCTATCGGGATCAACTGTAGACAACACACCCACACCCACACGCACGCACACACACGCACACACACACGCACACACACACACGCACACACATGCGTACATACACACTCACACACACTCACACACACACACACACACACACACACACACACACACACACACAGAGACATGCGTACATACACACTCACACACACACACACTCACATACTCACGGTAGCAAGTCGTTCCGTTTCCAGTGGTCCCGTTGAAGCATTCACAGCGGACTCCACCGGCAGTATTGACACATCTCGCTCTGGTTGGCACATCACAATCGTGTGCACCCGTCACACACTCATTGATGTCCACACAGCCACTGTAACGATCTCCACTAAAACCAGACTGGCATGTGCAGTCAAAACTACCTATAGTGTTCAGGCAGTTGGAGTTGGGTGGACACACACTCACACCTGCTCGACTACATTCGTCTTCATCTGTACAGCGCATTTCCGTGTTGATAGTGGTGGATACATAGCCAACATCGCAGACACACTGGAATTGGTCAACGCCGTCGCGGCACATGGAGTTAGCAGTGCAGCTGACGCCAATGCAGTTGTCAATGTCTGGAACAGAGTACAAAACAGATATACGAGTAAAATGATCAACAGGCAAATATTCCTATACACAATGCACACCATGATATGAATACTGTTGCATACATGCCGACAGACTGACAGGCAGAAAGAAAGACAGACAGACGGACGCACACTCTCTCTATCTACAATTCCCCCCCCCCCCCCCCCAACACACACAACTTATCACGAATGCACATAGAAATCAGCTGCTCAGTGCATTGATGCGTCCACCGCAAATTATCATCTACTGATTTCCCATGAAATTTTCTACCAGCTAACAACTTTCTGACTTACCCACTTCACAATCCTGGCCTGTAAAACCAGATTGGCATTGACATTGGTATGCATCCACCATATCCATACAGACGGCATTATTGAGACAAGGCATTCCAAGACAGTCATCCACATTGACCTCACAGTGCACACCCGTAAAGCCAGGTAAGCACTCACAAGTGTAGCTGTTTACACTGACACTGCCACCACCACCACCGCCGCCGTCCTGGGGAATCCCCTCCGGAACGCACACACCACTGTTAAGGCATCTGGGCATAGTCAGTGCAGGATCCGTACACGAGTTGTTTACATTCTCACACAGCACACCAAAGTAGTCCAAAGAACACGTGCATGCAAACCCGTCCGTCAGCTCCACACACGACTGGTTGTTTTGACATGGTTCACTGGAACACTCTAGTATGTCGGTGTTGCACAGCATGCCACTAAAACCCGGGAAGCAGTCACAGGAGAATGCGTTGACGGCATCGTTACATGAACCATTCACACAGGGCGTGGACGCACACTCTTTGATGTCAACCGCACAAGTCAGACCCGTAAAGCCTGGAGTGCACGAACAGGTAAAGCCATCGACGTTGTCGTTACACGTGCCATTCACACAAGGCATGGAGAGACATTCGTTGATATTGACCTCACACAGCACACCTGTATAGCCTGCACTACATACACACTGGTAGCTGTTGACCTGGTCTACACACGTACCCTGCACACACGGATCAGACTCACACTCCTCAACATTGATCTCACACGTCAAACCAGTGAAGCCGCCATTGCAGACACACACGTATCCGTTAATGCCGTCCACACAAGTTCCGTTGTCACAAGGCGAGGAGAGACACTCGACGATGTCAGTTTGGCATTGCAGTCCAGTAAAACCGGGAATGCAGTCACAGCGATACGCATTGACCAAGTCCGTGCATGTTGCATTGTTCACACACGGCGCGGACGTGCAATGATCAATGTCAACCTCACATTGAAGTCCGGTGAATCCTGGCTCACACTCGCACCGATATGCGTTAACGAGGTCCACGCATGTAGCATTATTCTGACACGGAGCACTCCTACACTCCTCCACATTGACTTCACAGATTACACCCGTAAAGCCTGCTACACACGTGCATTCAAACCCATTCACCGTGTCTACACATGAGCCGTTATTGCCACACATCACGCCCAGACAGTCATCCACATTTTGCTCACAGAACAGGCCAGAAAATCCCGGAGCACAGGTGCATGCGTAGGAATCGACACCGTCCGTACACGTTGCTTGGTTCAGACATGGATTCCCGGAGCAATCGTTAATATCATTGCTACAGAGTGTGCCGTTGTAACCTGGATGACACTGGCATTGGAAAGCGTTGATTTCATCCACACATGTGGCATTGTTCTGGCAAGGTTTTGGTGCACATTCATTGATATCGACATCACACATAGTGCTAGTGTAACCAGCATTGCACAGGCATTTAAAGCCGGCGATTTCATCCACACATGTTCCATTGTTCTGACAAGGAGCCGACAGACATTCATCAATCTTCACACTACACTCTGGTCCTGTATATCCCGCAAAGCAAGTACATTGGAATCCACCATGAGTGTTGTCACAATTACCACCCAATCCTGAGCAGTTGTGAGCACCAGTTTGACATTCATCATTATCACTCTCACAACGTACACCCGAGAAGCCAGTCAAGCAGCTGCATGTGAATCCTGCAGTCTGATCGATGCAGGTACCATACACGCATGGACTTGAAGTACATTCATCAATATCAACATCACAGATTGGCCCCGTATAGCCGGGGAAGCACATGCATTCAAATCCACCGTCCAGGTTGATACAGACGCTGGTGGGGTTCGTGCAATTGTGCGTACCAAGCAGACATTCGTGAAGGTCGTTTTCACACTGAAGTCCAGTGTACCCACTGAAACACTCGCATGCATAGCCAGCAATCTGATCTCTGCAAGAGCCATTGAAGCATGGCTCAGACAAACATTCGTCAATCTCAACATCACAGAGTTGGCTGGTGAAGCCGCTGATACAATCGCATGTGTAGCCTGCGACCTGGTCCCGACATGAGCCATTAAAGCACGGTTCGGAGGAACATTCGTCAATCTCAATGTCGCAGTGTGCACTGGTGAATCCGGCCGTGCAATCGCATACATAGCCTGCGACCTGATCCTGACATGATCCATCGAAGCATGGCTCAGATGCACATTCGTCAATCTCAATGTCACAGATTGGCCCTGTATAGCCAGGAATGCACATGCATTCAAATCCGCCGTCCAGGTTGATACAGATGCTGGTGTGGTTTGTGCAATTGTGCGTACCGAGCAGACATTCGTGAAGGTCGTTTTCACACTGAAGTCCCGTGTACCCACTGAAACACTCGCATGCATAGCCAGCAATCTGATCTCTGCAAGAGCCATTGAAGCATGGCTCAGAGGAACATTCGTCCACGTTTTGCTCACAGAACAGGCCAGAGAATCCCGGAGCACAGGTGCATGCGTAGGAATCGACACCATCCGTACACGTTGCTTGGTTCAGACATGGATTCCCGAAGCAATCGTTAATGTCATTGCTACAGAGTGTTCCGTTGTAACCTGGATGACACTGGCATTGGAAAGCGTTGATTTCATCCACACATGTGGCATTGTTCTGGCAAGGTTTTGGTGCACATTCATTGATATTGACATCACACATAGTGCTAGTGTAACCAGCATTGCACAGGCATTTAAAGCCGGCGATTTCATCCACACATGTTCCATTGTTCTGACAAGGAGCCGACAGACATTCATCAATCGTCACACTACACTCTGGTCCTGTATATCCCGCAAAGCAAGTACATTGGAATCCACCATGAGTGTTGTCACAATTACCACCCAATCCTGAGCAGTTGTGAGCACCAGTTTGACATTCATCATTATCACTCTCACAACGTACACCCGAGAAGCCAGTCAAGCAGCTGCATGTGAATCCTGCAGTCTGATCGATGCAGGTACCATACACGCATGGACTTGAAGTACACTCATCAATATCAACATCACAGATTGGCCCTGTATAGCCGGGAAAGCACATGCATTCAAATCCGCCGTCCAGGTTGATACAGACGCTGGTGTGGTTCGTGCAATTGTGCGTACCGAGCAGACATTCGTGAAGGTCATTTTCACACTGCAGTCCCGTGTACCCACTGAAACACTCGCATGCATAGCCAGCAATCTGATCTCTGCAAGAGCCATTGAAGCATGGCTCAGACGAACATTCGTCAATATCAACATCACAGAGTTGGCTGGTGAAGCCGCTGATACAATCGCATGTGTAGCCTGCGACCTGATCCCGACATGAGCCATTAAAGCACGGTTCGGACGAACATTCGTCAATCTCAATGTCGCAGTGTACATTGGTGAATCCGGCCGTGCAATCGCATACATAGCCTGCGACCTGATCCTGACATGATCCATCGAAGCATGGCTCAGATGCACATTCGTCAATCTCAATGTCACAGATTGGCCCTGTATAGCCAGGAATGCACATGCATTCAAATCCGCCGTCCAGGTTGATGCAGACGCCGGTGTGGTTCGTGCAATTGTGCGTACCGAGCAGACATTCGTGAAGGTCATTTTCACACTGAAGTCCAGTGTACCCACTGAAACACTCGCATGCATAGCCAGAAATCCGATCTCTACAGGAGCCATTAAAGCATGGCTCAGACGAACATTCGTCAATCTCAACATCACAGTGTTGACTGGTGAAGCCAGCAATGCATTCGCACGCATAGCCTGCGATCTGATCTCTACACGAGCCATTGAAGCAGGGTTCGGATGAACATTCGTCAATCTCAATATCGCAATGTGGACTGGTGAATCCGGCCATGCAATTACATGAATAGCCTGCGTCCTGATCTCTACATGAGCCATTGACACACGGTTCGGACGAACATTCGTCAATATCTATGTCACAGTGTGCGCTGGTGAATCCGGCCGTGCAAGTACATGAATAGCCTGAGACCTGATCTCTACAGGTCCCATTGTTGACACACGGCTGCGAGGCACATTCATCTATGCCCACATTGCATGCTAGACCCGTGAAGCCCGGCGAGCACGGACACTCGTAGCCACCCACCGTGTTACTGCAGTGGCTGTTGGTGGCGGGACAGGTGTATAAGCCAAGCACACATTCCTCTATGTCACTCTCACACTGTAATCCAGTGTAGCCGCTGTAGCAATCACAATAGTACCGGTTGACCAGGTCCCGGCAGGAGCCGTTGAAGCAGGGATTTGAGGCGCACTCGTCAATGCCGACCGAACACGACGGGCCAGTGAAGCCGGGCGAACACGGACACTCGTACCCGCCGACAATATTACTGCAGTGGCTGTTGGTGGCGGGACAGGTGTATAATCCCATGGTACACTCATCTATGTCACTCTCACACTGCATTCCAGTGTAGCCGCTGTAGCAATCACACCAGTACCCGTTGACATGGTCCCGGCAAGTGCCATTGAAGCAGGGATTTGAGGCGCACTCGTCAATGCCGACCGAGCACGTTGCACCGGTGTACCCCGGACGGCAGTCACACACATACCCGCCGACAATGTTACGACAATCACTACCAGCGACGAAGCAGGCGTGCATGCCCGTCAAGCACTCATCAAGATCACTCTGGCATCGTGAGCCAGTGTACCCGCTTGAACAGTTGCAGGCGTACCCAGCAACTAGATCCACACAAGAGCCATTGAAACAGGGCATTGACAGGCATTCGTCGATATTGACCTCGCATACCGAGCCTGTGTATCCGGCGAAGCACATGCAGTCGAATCCGCCGTCAAAGTTGACACACTCACTGGCATGGATTGTGCAGTTGTGTGTACCGAGTAGACACTCGTGTATATCGTGATCGCAACGCAAGCCATTGTAGCCACTGATACAGTCGCAAGCGTATCCCGCTATCTGATCCATGCAAGTACCGTTGATACAGGGACTGGAAGAGCATTCGTCAACTTCAATATCACAGATCTGTCCAGTGTACCCCGCCGAGCAAGAACACTGGAATCCCCCGTCGGTGTTGACACAGCTGCTGGTGTTTGTGGAGCAGTTGTTGTGAGTCGGTACTGAGCATTCATCTACGTCATGTTGGCATTGCAGGCCGGTGAAACCAGGCAAACAGTGACACATGTAGCCGCCCACATGGTCAGAGCATGAGCCATTCCATCGGCACGGCCCAGAGAGACATTCGTTCACATCAATATCACACACGACTCCTGTGTAGCCGGCTAAGCAGGCGCACACGAATCCGCCGTTCACGTTGACACAACTGCTGGTACCGTTTGTACAGTTGTCCAGCTGTTGCTCACACTCGTTTACGTCACTCGCGCACCGTGGTCCCGTATAGCCGCTGTAGCAATCACACTCATACTTGGCTACTTGGTCCCGGCAGGAACCGTTGAAGCAAGGACCAGACAGACACTCGTCAATGTCGACATCACAAAGCTGGCCCGTGTATCCGGCAAAACAGGCGCATTCAAATCCACCGTCCGTGTTCACACAGCTGCTAGAGACACTAGTACAGTTATTAGTGGTGTTGCCTAGACTACACTCATTCTCATCCATACATGATACTCCATCACCAGTGTACCCACTCAAGCACTGACACTGGTAACTGCCCACTGAGTCAGTACACATTGCAACCGCTGAGCAATTGTGCAGGTCACGTGTACATTCGTCAATATTCCCACACTCGGCACCGTCACCTTCGTAGCCATGGTTACACATACACAGGAAGTGACCGGCCACGTTTGTGCATGTGGCATCCGACGAGCAGTTGTGCAGGCGTGTGTCGTTACACTCCACGATGTCCTGGCAGAAGCCGCTGGTGCCGTTGCCGAAATAGCCGCGATTGCAGGTACACATGTAACTACCGTCCGTGTCTGCACAGCTGGCATTTCCGTCACACGTATCCACGTCAAGCAAACACTCATTGATGTTTTCACAGATACGACCTGTGCTGGAAGTGCCAGAGCTTGACCCAGAGCTTGATCCAGAGCTGTTCGGATCCGGCTCGGCATACCCGGAGAGACATTGACACGAGTAACTCCCTATTGTGTTTGTACACGTTGCCATGGTATCACAATCATGGCCGCCTGTCGAACACTCATCAATGTCGGAGCAATGTTGACCAGTTCCCGTGTACCCGATCAGGCAAGTGCAGCTGTAGTTACCGATGACTTCCGTACACTGGGCCTTCTGCGAACAGTCATGAGTACCAAGCATACACTCCGGGATGTCAGAACAGACTTGACCGTTGCCAGTGAATCCACTCAAGCAAGTGCAACTGTAGTTACCAATATGTTCCACACACGTGGCATTCTCCGAACAGTCGTGAAGACCCAACGAACATTCAGGAATGTCAACACAAGTTTGCCCATCTCCAAAGAAACCATTCACACATTCACAGCTGTAGTTGCCAATGATTTCCGTACACTTGGCATTCGGCGAACAGTCATGGGTACCTAGCGTGCATTCAGGGATGTCCGAGCACACCCGACCATTGCCACTAAATCCGCTCTGGCAAGTGCAATTGTAGCTGCCAGCAAGTTCAAGGCAAGTGGCATTCTCCGAACAGTCATGGGTACCTAGCGAACATTCAGGAACGTCGTTGCAGATCTGTCCATTTCCAGTGAAGCCATTCAAGCATTTACAACTGTAGTTACCGATGATTTCCGTACACATTGCATTCTGCGAACAGTCATGAGTACCAATTGTACATTCAGGAATATCGGAGCATACTCGTCCATCCCCGGTAAACCCACTCAAGCAAGTACAGGAGTAATTACCCATGGTTTCCGCACACGTGGCATTCACCGAACAGCCATGAGTACCTAACGAACACTCTGGAATATCCATGCAGACTTGGCCATTGCCGGTAAAGCCACTGAGGCATTCACAGCTGTAGTTTCCGATTATTTCCGTACAATGGGCGTTGGCTGAACAGCTGTGTAGACCAAGCGAGCATTCAAGAACATCGGAACAGACACTGCCATTGCCAGTAAAACCACCAATACATTCACATATGTAGGATCCATTTGTGTTGGAGCAGGTAGCTGTGAGCAGTGCACACTGATGTAGACCATCGGTACATTCGTTTTCGTCAAGACATGTCACACCATTACCACGGAAACCATTTAAACATGTGCATTCGTAGTAGCCGACAGTGTTTGTGCAGATAGCGTTGACACTGCAGTTGTTCACTCCTGTACCGTTGCTGTTGCTGCTGTTGAAGGTGGTACTACATTCGTCTATGTCTTGACAGATTGTATGTGTGACTGCCTCGTAGCCAGCAAGACACTGACACAAGAAACCGGGTACGGTGTTCACGCAGACGGCGTTGGCACTGCAGCTACTGCTGTTGCTATTGTCACTGGTAGTAGTGTTGCTGATGTTGCTGCTACTGCTGTTACTGTTGCTGACACACTCGTCAATGTCCAGACAAGCTGTGCCATTACCTGTGGACCATACAAAGAAGAGCATCGAGAAGCCACGTATGATACTTAAGTAGCCAGTTGTCTAAGGTTCTGAGCCTGCATATAGTGCTCTCTGTCCAGTGCAGAGATCCAGTGTATTACAATGATCACACAGCAATGAAGCAAACAAATCTTTTTTTCCGCCGTTACTCGGAGTTTCGTGTGAAACACTCCTCAGGCAGCTTCTGTCTGCAGTCTGATGAGAGCTTCAATGGTGTGTGATCATCGTATGATACTTACGTAAATGGGCAACACTATGCCTTTGCGATGATGTGAACTATCTGTAGCTGCGTGGGCCGCAAGTCCGGAAAAAACCCAAACTAGTTCAAAATGCACGCGCAAGTTGACTCAGAGCGAATTTGGTTCAAGTCTCGTATCTCCGCTCTCCGACCTCGGATCACCTTCGGGTTCTTTCAAGCCGTTAGCTGAGACAATTCTATTGCCAGTAAATCTTTCGATTGTCCGATTTGGTCAAGGGACAGCCGAGTTATGCCAGGTTGCACTTTGAAAAGTATGCACTGTACACTGGTACGGATATATCCGTACTATGGGCCTCAAAGGGCTAAAAGATTGTTATCTACACATAGACCTTTTTTGTTAGACTCACCATAGAATCCGGCTGGACAGACATCACAAACTGTGCCATTGCCGACAAAGCCAACTTGACACGTGCACAGACGAGATCCGTCAGTATCCGTGCAGTTTGCGTGGACGGCACATCCTCCGTTGCTGGCACTCAGCGCAATGCACTCGTTGATGTTAGTACAGTCAGTGATTGGTGTGGATGAGGGGCTGCTGTCTGCACCACATGCAAGCGTATACACACAGACACGCAAGCAAACATACACATGCATACACACATACATATACACATACACACACACACACACACACACTTGTACTTGTTGCTCACTGCCAAAACTGGTCACGTGGGTCTCCCTCCCTCAAAAGGAATCTTGGAAAGATGACTCAATTGGCTATTGAACCGCCCAACGGCCGACACCCCATGAAATCCCCAAAACTCTGGGTGGACTTGAAAATGATCCCACTTATGGGCTCACCACACCTCAGTAAGTGGGTGAGGACAAGGTGCAGAAAAAGGATTGACGGCATCAGGGTATCCGGCCAGGGATCCAACTGCAGTTACCCCTGCGCCCAGTGAAGGTAATACTTGCTACTAGTGTGAGTGGCTAAATCAGAGGGGATCTGACAAAAGCGTCACTAGCATCATTGAATACACAAGAGTTAATCTAGCCAGAAGCAGTCCATGGTTAACATGTATGTATACTTCAAATGGAAAGTATATGAACCCTGTAACCAACAAAGGTGGCAGATACAACAATACACCTTCAAGTAGCCGAGCCTGTTGGCAACATACCCCACACAATCAGGCATAAATGTACCCACCAACCAAACTAGCTGGCACTCACACACACACACACACACACGCACACACACACACACCTGCATGTGCACGCACGTATCTATTATGTGTACACACAGTAAGACTATGTCTGCAGCTGCAGGACAAGTGCTCAACATCCAATTTCGCGGGGGGGGGGGGAGCAATGACACATGTCAACAAACAATGGATCACTCGTAGTGTTTTGCTACTCTGAGTTTCATGCACTGTGTGCAATCATCAGGCAAACAATATTACAATATCATTTTTTGTTGACATACGTACACACACATACACACATACACATTCACAAGCACAACCAAGTCTTGGCCACACACGCACACACACGCACACACACATACAGATACACCGGCGTTAGGCGCATGCACAGGCACTGACACAGTTCTTTGTAAAGTAAATTTGTTTTACTGTCAAATAGTTACGCATACACACGGGGCTGTGCAATACGTACTTTATCAGGACCGACGGAAGCAGCAGGTTTTGTTTTGTCCAGCCATACCATAGCCTTTCATACAGTTTGTGTATGGTTACAGTGGTTTTACATAATTAAAACCTCTTCACCAGGAAACATGCGTTAGTTTTCAACAGGTTGATCCGGTGATGATCTGACCAAGCGGACCGGTTCCAGGGGGCCTGTTCAGAGGTAAGGGGCCATCCGCAAATACTGATAATTATTTGTTTAGGAACGAAAACTAGTCATTTCTCTTCAACCCCCTCCCCAAAAAAATACAAACGGTATCTAGTATCGATAACTAGAAACATGCCTGATGATTGCGAGAGCATGAAACTTCAAGTCGCAGCAAACAAGCCTTGATTGTCCTTGTTGTTCTGTTCTGTATTACGCTCTGCCTCCGCCATGGTGTTGAGCACTGTCAGCACACTGGGTACACCTTCCGGGGTAGTATCGATATTTATATATTTTTTGGATGCGCCCACACTTACAAACTATGCGTCGATAATTTTCGAGGAACGAACAGACGCTCAACCCAGCCCCCCCCCCCCCCCTACACACCTAGTTTTCGTTTCTAAATAATTATCCATATTTACGGATGGCCCCTAAGGTATTGTATGAGTCTCTCTTAAATCCAATGTCAAATGACAGCGATAGCATAGTGCTGGGTTGTCAGAACAGTACTTTTCGCTGCAATGTCGGGACTAGCACTGTACACTGCAATGTCAGGACCAGCTACCCATCCGCTCACCCGTAAATCCCATTGCTTTGTAACTTGCTAATCCGTACCCCTTTTGTGTACGTGCTTTTCTTTTCTTTTTTTCTCTTTTTCCGTGGTTGGTCTCACCCTCTCCTCAATTCAATTGGCTGTCTTGACATGCTACGAGGTGCAGAAATAAATAAATAAATATATAAATACAGTACAATCGACTTGGTTCACAACACGGTGAGGTTCCCGGCACATACGGTTCTCATGTTATTCCCTGCTACTGTAAGTCCACAAATTTTCGGCCCATTCTTATCTTGGCCTCCCACGGCTAAAACCCACTTCGGCCGCATCAAATGTTCAGCCTGTACTGCTGCCGCCTGCATGCCCTCCTGTCGCACTGAGCCGTGCGAAGCAAAATTTAGGCCGCAACAAATTTTCGGCCAAACAAGACCAGGACGAAAATAGCCGAAAATAAATCCGCGCCGAATATTTGTTGACTGACAGTATGTTTTATGCTGGTATTTGCATCATGATGGTCTGTGTCTTGTAAAAAGAACGGAAAAAAGAACATACCTTCATATCCACTGAGACAGGAACACGTAAAGTCACCATCAAAGTTGCTACACTGTGAATTGGGTCCACACGTCTCCAGTATGGACACACATTCATCGATGTCCTGGCAGATGTCACCAGATCCCGTGTAACCGGCGTAGCAGGTACAGTCGAAACCAGGCATGGAGTTTATACACATAGCTATCGATGAACAGTTGTGCGTACCGGCTAGACATTCGTCTAGATCACTAGTAGCTGTAACAAGACACACACAGAGAGAGAGAGAGAGAGAGAGAGAGAGAGAGAGAGAGAGAGAGAGAGAGAGAGAGAGAGAGAGAGAGAGAGAGAGAGAGTGTTTGTGTGTGTGTGTTTGTGTGTGTGCGTGCGTGCGAGTGTGCTAAGGGTGATAAGTGTACCCATCAACCAAACTAGCTAGCCACACACACACATCATGTACGAACACAATCTGGCATTACCATACCCACCAACCAAAGTACCTACACACACCCATACACATTCACACGCACAGGGCTGCCACACTTGGAGGGAGAAAAATCTGACGGGGGTCCGGGGTAGTCCCCCTGTGAAAGGGTTTAGGAAAATGGCTTGCTGTTGGGGCCCCAGACCGCATTTTTAACTGTCCACACACATGCAAGCACGCGTGCATTTCACAGCTACATGGTGTAAGTGCATATAGACACTGGAGCCAACATGGCCGCGACATCATGCGATGTATTGATCTAGGGACTCAGTGAAGTTGGAACCACCATATCATCACACACATCATGCCACCCACTCCAGCAGGGGTTGACAGGAGTTGGAACCAGCATGGCGGACATGAAGACACTCATGCAAGCAGGGTTTGACAGGAGTTGCAGCCAACATGGCTACCCCATATGGTCAAAAACAATTGCACGGGTTCGCATGCAGGGCAGGTTAAGAACCACCTTTCCGCTTCCGTGGAACGCCGCCGTATGATCAGGCGTCAGATGCGGCTCCTGAGCAGTGGGGGAGGATACAGTCAGACTTTGCTTGCCCGCACACATCCGTTTCCCACAAAAATATCCGGATAGGTGAGGGAACCGGATAATCGAACACACATTCTGTATGTAAGCACTACATTATGGTGTAAATCGGTTATTAGATATTTTCTTCCGGATGGCGAGAGATCCGGATAAAAGAGAACCAGATAAGCGAGGTCTGACTGTACATCACATCCACCAATCAGAGGCCAAAGGCCATGAGGTCATGTCTTAGATTTATCACTACAGTCAACTTCGCTAATAACGACTCCGGATATAACGATAATTCGCGAATAATGACAGAATTTCCATGCCCAGAGCAAAGTCCAATTCTACCTGTATAAATATAATGAGACTTCGGGTATACGGACACTTCGCGAATATGGACACTTTCCTGATACCCGAGCGAGTGTCGTTATACGCAAAGTTGACTGTACTCTCTATATCTAGTACACTCCAGCAACCTTACCAGTGTTAGGTACCTCCCCCGTACCTTTTCTAGCTGGCTTGTAGCACTCGCGTACTCACCTTTTGTCTCCTTTTGTTCCATTGGCCTGGGTAGCTACTTGCGCGCCCATAATTGCCATAGCTACCCAGGCCCTTTATCTTGCCGTTCAGACTTGATATCTCTCTTTTTCTCACTCTTCAATAATCACCATGTAGTCGTTTCGTTCGTCTTGGTCTCTTGTCCCGTCTCTAATAAATGTCGTTCCACCAACCTACCTATTCCCGTTGTAATGTTTGGATAATGTGTCCTCAGTCGTCCTTTCTCGTATTCAACATTGGCGCCCGATTATTGATCGACCCACGACCCTGAGATCATCCCATGCCCAGTCGTCCTCAACCGCCATTCGTCTCGTCCATGTCAAACTCGTCTCGTCCATGTCAACCTCGTCTCGTCCAGGTCCATCTCGTCTCGTCTCCAACCTCGTCTCGTCTCCAACCTCTTCTCGTCTATGTCAACCTCGTCTCGTCCATGTCAACCTCGTCTCTTCTATGTCAACTTCGTCTCGTCCAAGTCATGCAGGTCAGCTACTTTCTTTATTTCTCTCTTTCTTTTTCATCCGTCCTTCGTCGTCGAATTTATTTTCAGTTTATTTTATTTTGTGATTTTTGTAGTGTGTGTGTGCGCGCGCGGGTGTCCTTCATTAATATTAGGGGTCCGATCATGGTGAGCCACGCTCTCTTATTTATGCCGTATATTAAAACCCTTTAGAGCCTAAATTATTTCAGGAGAAGCATGAAATTCACAAACTCACATTTTCATCTGACTGTAATTTCGATATCCTTTGGAGTATTCCAACAATCTCGGGCTCTATGGAAAGCTCTCTCCAAGACGAACACAGCCATACCCAGTTCTCAATTGATAGAGTCGTAGGAGTAACGCCGCAGCGCGATCTGAGCGCTCCAATGCCAGACCTGCGAGCGCGGTACTAAATTCTCAGCCATTTCAACAATATCGATCGCAGAACGGTCAATTTTTTTGCAGGAGAGAGCTTCAAAATGCAGCTTGAAAATGACGTATGCCAGTCGTGCACGCGTCGCCAGCGAGTCAGGGAAAATCCCTTGCTGGCGTTTCAAATTTTACGCCGCGCGAGCCGACTCGCCCACGCGAATTTTGTTCGAGTGTCGTAACTCTGCGCTATGACCTCGTATCGTCTTCGGGTTTTTTGGAGCCGACAGCTGAGGCTTTTCTGATACGATTAGACCTTTCGCTTGTTGAATTCGAACAAGGATTGACTGAATGACGAAAGTTTGAAGTCACCTCAGCATGCACTGTACAGTCTGGCGGATATATCCGCCCTATAGGCGTTATAGGGTTAAAGTGTAACTAGGCTGTATTAGCCGTGCAAAATACTAGTCATCAGAATACAATTCAAGTCCCTCGTCGAACTCCAATAGTTATTTTTTGTGCCATGTTTTTGAAGGGGCGTTGGGCCCGTTGTTATTGGCAATGTACACACTATAGTATAAGTAGTACAGGAACGTAGACGGTTGTAATGATCTTTAGTGCATATTTTAGTATACACTTTTGTGAGGCCCGTGCGTTGTGTGTGTTTTTCTTTTTTTCTTCTCTTCTTCCTCGGTCATTGTTTCTCTCTATTTTTCTCATCGTCTTATTATTTCCCGCTAGGCCGCGGTTCTTTTTTCACTCAGGGGAGGTTATGTTAGGTACCTCCTCCCATTCCTTTTCTAGCTGGCTTGCAGCACTCGTGTACTCACCTTTTTGTCTCCTTTTGTTCCGTTGGCCTGGGTAGCTACTTGCGCGCCCATAATTGCCATAGCCACCCAGGCCCTTTATCTTGTCATTCAGACTTGATATCTCTCTTTTTTCTCACTCTTCAATAATCACCATGTAGTCGTTTCGTTCGTCTTGGTCTCTTGTCCCATCTCTAATAAATGTCGTTCCACCAACCTACCTGTTCCCGTTGTAATTTCTGGATAATTTGTCGTCAGTTGTCCTTTCTCGTATCCAACACCAGCAGCTGTCACAGGAACTGTGGCAAGTACGAGTAAAACAAACGCCAATGATGCAACAGCTGCTATTGTGGCACCACAGCGGCGCCCGTAGCTGGGCAGCATTGTTCACGATGGTCTGACAGTCTTGCGTCTCATTGACTGACGGTGTTGCGTCTCATTGACGTTGTTCCTGCCCTTTGTCCACTTGCTCCTCCGATATCCTACACAAACAACATAGGCAAAAATCACTCAATCAGAATCTGCGGGCAGAACTGTTTCGTCCTTTGCGCACTCATCAGCACAGCAGAGAGAAAATGAGGCCGAACCTGGTAGCAATGAGAAGCATTTCTTCTTCAAAGCCAGATTTAAGCCAGGCCCGAACGTACCTTGCCAGAAAGCTCAAACTGGCAAGTCTGTGAGCTCTGCATAACGCAAACAGCAAATGTAAAAATCAGTTAGTGCACAGTCTGGTTTTGATGCCCTGAGCGGATGAAATAAATTGGCCATCGGTACTGAGCTGACCATAACACCGTTCCAGCGAACGTACCCACAATGATACATACAACAGCTAGGCTTATTCCTGCGCAAGCCGATGATATTACGACAAGGCTTCTATTCAAATCAGACTGATATTATAACCAGGAACATTCTAACCAGCAGCTTCCCAAGCCAGTTCACCATTATTAAATTAAAGTCCAAACCACCCACCACAGCCGTATGGATGGGAATATTTCACTATCTACCAAAGCATGGAGTCCTCCTGTTGCTGCTGCTGTGGTGGCCAAAGTCGCCCGGAGAGCGCATGTGATCGGGAGTTGGAAATAACTACTTCGTAAGGGTGTTTCTGTGTATGTCAACGTGGAAGCCAGGATTGTGTGCCGATGGTCCATTGGGGAAGATAAGCCTAGCCTTGCTTGCACATTGGACAGACTTTAAAAGCAGCACTTTGCGTATCTATCCAAAATCCTTCTGTCACCCTGCTTGGTGACTTCAACATTAATGTTAGCTCAGCTGTAACACCTCAGCTTCACCGTTTCAATGATGCAATTCACTCTTTCGGTTTGAGAAATTTAGTTTCTGTCCCAGCCCGAATAACCCCAAGATGTCCCGTCGGCACAACACTGGACCTGATCCTCACCAGTAGCCCTGCTACAGTCTCCTGCAATGTCGTACCCTGTACTCTGAGTGATCACTCGGCCGTACATGCTAGACTGGACCTCGCGCTACCGTCCGCTAAGCATCAACACTCTTCGCAACGCCGGGGAACCAGTTTAACCCGCAACATGCGCACCATAAACCTTCCAGAATTTCGGGATGAGCTTGCCAATGCCAACCTGAGCGTGTTCCAATCGACTTCCTCCACTGATGAGATGTGGAGCACTTGGCACACTAAATTCATGCGTGCTCTTGACAGACATGCCCCTCTCAAATCCACCAGCAGGAAGGCGAGCTCATATCCCCCGTGGTCTGACAGGGAATTGTACCAACTCCAGTGTCGCAAGAAAAGGCTACATCGCCAGTGGCTTCAGAACAAGGACAGCACCCATCTCTACTCGGCATTCAGGCGTGCCGGTGCGGCTGCCAGAAATGCCTATCGTAGGAAACGCAATGAGTATTTCCAAATCCAATGTGCTGAACATAGTTGCAATCCAGGCAAACTGTGGCATATCATCAACACTGTAACATCTCGAACTCGCCAACGTATTGAGCCAACGTGTGATGTGGAGGATGTCGCCACAGCCTTCAGTAAAGTTGTGACTGATAATGATAGACCCCCTGTGCTCACCATGCCACAGGGTCCATCACGCCCCACAGCGTTATCAGATTTCCAGTATGTCCGAACCAACTCTGTTTATCGTCTCCTGAGAGGCATCAATGCAGCCAAGGCCACAGGCAGTGACAGCATCCCAGGAGTACTTCTGAAGTGCTGTGCTGATATCATTGCTCCGTCTGTTGCTGCTCTCTTCAATGCCTCACTATCCCGTGGTACAGTACCCTCTGCCTTCAAGCTTGCACACGCATCACCGCTATATAAAGCTGGTGACCCAGCAGTTCCCACTCACTTCTGTCCCATTTCCCTTCTCCCAATCCTGTCCAAGCTATTAGAGAAGCTGGTGCAGAAGGAACTTGTATCAGTCATGAACATCACGGAGTCACTTCCCTCCACTCAGTTTGCATTTCGCAGCGGCCATTCCACTGAGGATGCACTAGCTCTCATCACCAACCGTATCCTTACTGCCCGGGACAAATGAATGTACACAGGTGTGTGCTTATTGGACATGTCCAAAGCATTCGATAAAGTTAGACATCACCAACTAATTCTCGACCTCTTCAATGTTGGTGTCACGGCCACAGCCCTGCGGTGGTTCATTTCTTACCTCTCCGAACGGACCCAGCGTGTGTGTATCGGACCATCACGCAGCACTATCACTCTCTGCACCTGCGGAGTGCCACAGGGATCTGTGCTCGGCCCCATTTTGTTCAACGTATACACTCGGGAAATACCCTATGTTGCTGGACAAGCTTTGTCTTTGCAGTTTGCAGATGACATTGGTCTCACTCGCAGCAAACCGACTTAGTCTGAAGTGTCTGCAATTCTGTCTGCGTCAGCTTCAGCTATTGCTTACTGGCTAAACGACCGTGGCTTGATCCTGAATGCTTCCAAAAGCCAGGTGATCTCCATTTCTGGGAACCTACCTGAGAAGCATACTCCACTCTCGGTGAACTGTAACGGGACCCTGCTGCCTCTTGTGGAGTCTGCCAGGTACCTTGGCGTAACATTTGATAGCAACATGTCTTGGGATGACCACGTAACCCGCTGTGCAAACAGTGTATCACGAAAGATCGGAGTCCTGTGGAGGATGCGGCGTTGCCTCAGCACACAGGGTCGGATAACTTATTTACAGTCCATCATAATGGCCGATCTTCTATATGGATCAAATGCATTTTCGATATCTCTGGCAGCCAGGCACTGTCATCGACTACAGGTTCTGCAAAACCGTGGTGCCCGTGTAGTGTTCGGACGCCCGCCATGGACATCCGCACATGACCTACTGGAGCGCCTCTCACTGTATCGGGTAACCGAAGTGTACAAGCAGAAGCTGGCATTCCTTGCAAGGCGCTGCCGTTACGGCCAAGCAAGTCCTGAGCTTCAGGTTCTCTTGCTGCCAGCTTGTGGCCGGTCCACGCGCCTGCACTCCAGCATGGGTCTCTGCCTGCCACCCGCCCGCAGCAACTCTGGAAAGGGGACATTCGCCTTCCAGGGTGCGCTATGCTGGAACAACCTGCCTAGCAGTATTCGCTCCATCTCTGTTCCTCGTCAGTTCCGTGCTGCCGCAGTCCCGTTTCTTCTATGAACTGAGAACATTGCAAAGCAATTGTATGTGTGGCTGTCAATGTACATGTGTGTGTGTGTGTGTGTGTGTTTGTGTGTGTGTGTGTGTGTGTGTGTGTGTGCACGCGCATGTGCGTGTGTGGGGGGGGATGTGTCTGAGTATGTGTGTATTGGTGTGTAGGTGTGGGTATGTACATGTATGTGTGTGTGTGTGTGTGTGTGTATTTGTGTGTGTGTGTGTGTGTGTGTGTGTGTGTGTGTGTGTGTCCCATATGGTGCAGTGGTATGTGCAGCGATTTCCAATCGATAGATTGCGGGTTCGATTCCCGACGATTATGGTCACACACGTCTTTCTTCTCTTTCTCAGACTCTTCCTGACTTTTCTTTTATTCTCCTGGGTGGTTACCAACAGCCAGTGCATGCCGGAGTATGTGGTGTGATGTGTGTGTGGGGAAAAAAATTAAAAAAAGACCAAAAATAGGGATTCACTGGCCAGAAAATGTCACTCCAAATAGCTGTATGGAGTAGACCAGGCTGAATAGTGACGGTCAATTCTTCAGCCTTGCAAGCTGTTGAATGGTGTAATCCCAGCACAAGTTGCTATGGCTTCTGCCGTAGCATTGCTATCATCGCCTCCGGCGATGGGCGTCAAAGGTCAAAGGTGTGTGTGTGTGTGTGTGTGTGGGTGTGGGTGTGTGGGTGTGTGGATGTGTGGGCGTACATGTAGATGTGCAATGCTTCTCTTCTCTCTCTTCTCTTCTCTTCTCTCTTCCTGTCTGTGTCTCCCGCTTCTGGGCCGGCATGGCCCATGCTTCATGCGTGCTTGTTCCTGGTGTTGTTATGTCTACTGTGTCCTGCCGCTACTCCGGCTTTGGCCGTGACCACGATGTGTCTCCCCATTTTCTCCTTCATACTTTCCTTTCTCTTTTTGCTAAAAGCTTTCTTCTCGCCGTGACCACGGTATTTCTTCTTCTTCTCCATTATTCTTTTTCTTTCCTTCCTTTCTCTTCTTCCTTTTCTGAGGGCCTTCTGTTCCCATATTTTCTTTTCATCTGTGTTCCCATTCCTGGGTTATTTGGACTTCATTCGCTTCCTTGTCATTGGACATGTTCAGTCCGTTCGGTTTGCGAATTCAAATAGACACACAACCCAAAAAACACACAAAATCCTCAACCCCCTCCAGTTATCACCACAGATGGCAGGATGGAATGCTAGCTAGCTAACTGATAGCTGATAGATGTTCTTGTACGTCAGCACCCGACCTACCCTAGTTCCGCGCATATAAGCCCATGGGCTTATATGTGAAATAATGCGGTTTGGGGATATAATATCCAGTAAAACATGTTCATTTTTTAGCCCATGGGCCAATATTCGAATTTTGAAGGTTCACGAAAAAGTACAAGTCCGTGCTCATGGTGAGTCTACCATACTCTACTGGTAAACTGCACTGACCTGCTGTACCATGGTAGGAAGAGTCCAGTTTGTGAGACATTCTACTTGACACGTGAGTTGCATTTGTGTCTGTTTATTAGCCCATGGGCTTATAAACGGAGGTGGGCTTATATCCGGATATAGGCCCATGGGCATATGCGCGGAATTACGGTATGCACAACGCATACCTTCCTGGGAAAGCTGACATACTATAATTATTATGTATTCATGGTATGATCTGGACTGTGGTTCTTCTATGATAGGAATGGCGATGATTTCAGGTGAACGAAATCCAACACCAGATGCTGAGGAACAAAGCCAATTCTACTAGAGAGTGACAGGAGTACTTTTACAACAATTATTCATACAGTTTTATAGAGATAAGAGAGTTTCATGAATATAATGCACCTCATTCCCCCTTCCCCCTCCCCCCCCCCCCCCCCCCGCTCATTCCTCATTCCATTTGGCTTGAGTGAAAGCTTTACATATTCTGCATACACAGACAGAAGAACGAGCAGTTGTTTTTTGAATCGATCATCAGACGACAATAGAGAAGTCATGTTGTGTATACATGTATTTACTTCCTCCGCGTCATTAAAATTGTCGCTTCCCAGAGCGATTTTTCGAATTTATTTTGTCCCCTCGAAGAGCAAAGAAATCAGCTAGAAATTGAGGCAGAGCATTGTCGACGGACCAAGCTTTAGTTTGTGGCCTCCCGCTTCGCTTCACTTGCAGCTAATTTCGACGTCTTCATCAGAGTTTGAGGCAGACCCTTCAGCACTCAACAATACGCTAAACAAGACGCGCGTTCAAATTCAGGTCAAGAAACTTCGTTTTCAAGCGATCCATGCCTCCAGGTGGCAGGCGATTACGGCAAACTAGCGTTTTCAAGTACACTGTACTGACCTTCCAAGTGGATAGGGTAAGCAGTCCCGTGCCTTCTTTCCTTGGCAAGCGCTTCGCTGATTTTGTTGGTGTTTTCAGACCTGCTACCTTCGCAGCAACATGCGCCACAAGTAGCGCATTTTAGGAATATGAGACCACTTTGTTCTTGCCATCGTCAACTTCAGCATTTCGTGTTCAGGAGAGGTACCAGGATTCTTATACCCGAGCTTGCAGTCTTGATGAATGCCCACGCGGACGATGTGAGACGGCACGAACTCCAGAAAACGAAATGCGCTCTGGGGCGGAATAGTGCGAAGCACGATGAATTTGCTTGGTGCGGAAGAGAGCTCCGACAAAGTTCGAGACCACCACGGCTTCAGTAACAAGTAGACATTGCGCAGGAAGGGTCGCACCAATGTTCGAACACAGAAAACAGCGATTCCGACAATCTGACTGAGATGAGCCAAGTCACAACAAACATTGCGATGTGGGAAGCGACAATTTTAATGACGCGGAGGAAGTATATTGTATCGATGCCTACGCAGAGAAGCTCTTTACAAATAATGCAGATCACGACATGATATACGACTCGACCCACTATTTCATATTTCCCCGCTTCTTTGCTCGTATTGGATTATTCATAACGCCCATCAGCTATACTAACAGCGCACACTCCAGAGGCTCTTGTGTTCTTGTGTGTATACAGAGTCAGGACAGTGACGTCGACATGGACATGCGCAAGCTATCTGCTGGAGACTGGAGCTCAGCTTGTCGTACAATTACAGTGGAAAGAGGACACCCTACTTCAGATGCATGAGCTGATCACTCCATCACTGTACTCTACTTTATGTTTGAAATCCAATAAAATCCAATACACGGAAATGACACAACCAAGTCCTTTTCTGACGTTACTCAGAGTTTCATGCTAAGAAACACTCACCAGCTAGTCTATTGAAGAACCTATAGGCATTGTTTATTGTAATCATGATCCCATTCAATGTTTCTCGAGTCTGTAGTTTTCGTCCTTTCCACCTGCTGTCTTTTTTTTACGGATTGGGTGCGTGGTTTTCGATTCTAAAAGGTGGTCGGGCCCCTGGTGTGTGTGTGTGACTATTGCACAAGAAGCTGGACAACCAGCCAGCACACTGCGTCTGTCTATTTCACAGTATAACCCTGGGTGGATGGAAGACACTCTTCTTCTCAGGTGGTCTATGCGGTCAGCACACCATCACCACACACCAGTCTGAGTACTGGGAATTTTGCAAAAGAAACCTGTGCAAGACGTTTGCTGGACTACTGGTATGCTTGCATCTCCAGTGGCAATGTGTATGCAAGCTGGGTTTCACCTTGCAATGGCCCTAGTCCTACTGCTGTCTACCACTGTGAACTATGCCTATGGTACTACTCAGCTGTTTCCCCCCCGCTGCTCACCTGTCATGTTAGGTGCATTGGCATCAGCACGACTCAGCCATAGACAGGGAGTACTTCCTGCTCATTGACATCTGATATCCTGATATCTGGACACCCCTGACAGTTCCACTAGCTACAGCTAATGTTCACCACAGCTACAAGTAGACCTCAGCTAATGTACATACCGGTAATACTGTAGTACAGGTATACAGGTCTATGATGTTGCAATACCACTACCATTCATCCGAAGCGAAGATTACTGATTTTACACAAGAGAGAGAGAGAGTTTGGAAGCTTTGTTACAACTCTGAGTTTCACGTACTACTACGATCATCAGGCAGATTTTACAAATGTACTGGCAGAGACGAGGGTAGGGAAGGCAACTCAGCCACTTGCAAGGATATGAAGACCTTCACCACTTCTTACAAGATGATTATCAGACATGCTGTCCTGAGAGCATTTTGGGGCTATCTCCACTATCAACTACATGATTGTACAACACCACGACAGTGATCATAATTTCTGCCTACGCCTACACTTAGTGGGGGGAATGGTCTGCTACCACACATACACATATGTGGCCCATATTTCTAACCCCGCTCGGCCAGACTGAGACCGCCCGCATAGTCTACGCACAATCTCTGTACGGAAAACGTTTGAGGTTTACCGCAAAGCCTTGACTTGAGGCTGCCGAAAAGATGCACACCATACCCAATGACATGCCCGTTTTCAAGAAATTGGACCACCCTCGAATCCGAAGGTACACCAGTCATGTTTCTGTATAACGAATAGGAAACTATCAACGCAAACGAAAACGTGATCGAATCAATGGAGTAAAATTTAGCCAGCTGCTACGATTATCTACGGATAATTTCCTCGCACAAGCCGACCCGCTGAACAACGCACAGCGACATTAATTTTAATAGCTACCGTTTATCAAGTCGTTCTGGCAGATTGTGCTGGGGGCACACTTGTACTTAGGGCAACAAACGCACGCGCCAGCCATTGGCGAACACGCGATCATACACGAGCTCCTTGACTCGAGCCGGCAAGCAACTGTACCTGCCGGACAGAACGGTCCACACCAAGACAGTCATGTAGCTACTCGTGCTCACGATGCTCGAGCGTCAAGAGTCCTCATTCCACACATGGGCCACGACACAAGTGAAATTACTTAGCGCTCACATAATAAATTCTCACCAACCAACACCCAGTAACCGCTAAAGAGGCAGAATATCTGCTCACCTTTCTCTCCACACTGCACTGTCGGACGCTTCGGAACAGCACGTCGTCCCGGAAGTTCAAAATCCAAAATCTAATTCCACGGACAGCAACCATGCGCTAGAATGAACTCTAGTTTATCTAGCCACGCGTTTTCGAAGTTATACAATTTTAAAATTCTTCGGCTCTTCGGGAATCTTAGGCACTGTGAAAAGGAAAGGGAAGGTTCTAAAAAGCAGCTGCACTGGAGCGGGGCCAAGCAGCAGAAAACAGCAGGGCCTAGGAGATTGCAAGGTCAGGAATTTATTTTTTGTCATTCAATCACTCCACAGGGAACAACATGTGTGTGCGTGCATTATGTACACTGTACATGTAGCTAGTTGAGCTCGTGTGATCTTGTGACTTTGCCCCGTATGCCGTATGAGTTACTTACTTCGAAAGAAGTCACCAGCAAGAGTACCGTGATTTGAGTGTGAATGCTGTCGCTGTGTGCAAAGCGTGTTTGACCTGAGCTGTCACCTCTCTCTCTCTCTCTCTCTCTCTCTCTCTCTCTTTCTGCAGTGGTTGGATTTGATGAGTTGAGGACCTTGTTTGTCAGCCACTGTCCGCTTTGTCGGCATGCTCGAAGCCTAGCCTAGGCTAGGCTCTTCGCTGTAGTGTAGTGTAGGGTTGTGGCAGAGTCTACTGGCACTACTATACTGCCGTACTGGCCTGGGTGTGCGTACATGACTTTGTGTGCAGCTAAAAACCGGAAGGACAAGCCGTGGTCATATCACTCATGGCATGGTCATTTCATTGATGAGTGATGGTGAGAACTAGAAGGCGATGTGAAAAACTCCGAAATGTCACACACGCACGCACACCCGCGCAGACACCGATCACGACGACAGGCTCTGTGATCTTCCATCTCGTGCTATCCTACCGCCAGCATTCATTCGCTATGCACTCTGTCCTGACACTACAGTAACTAATTACTTGCAGTTACCATGGTTACACTAACTAATAAAATACTTACAGTAGGGACTTCAGACCATTTTTTCAAATCGGTTTTCTGTGGCTTACATGTATGTTTTGCTTTTTGGATAGGTTAGAGCTTCCTGAGGAGTTTGGTCTTTAGTTTTTCTAAATCGGACAAAGGAAACTAAAGTTACAAGCAAAATAGTCATCGCCTATCCCCGGATTTGTCCGACAAACGTCCCACACATTTGAGATCAGAGAGATATGTCAAACTGAGAGAACCCACTTTCCTTGGCAACGCATAGCAACCGCACACCAGATCCAAAACAATCTTGATTCGCCGCATGAAATAGCTGAATAGTATGGTTTACAATGTAGTTGGTAGTAACAGGAGACATTGATAATACAGTCCTGAGATAGCTTCGGACTGTTGGCGTGGTTGGTGTCAAGAAAAAGAATGATCACGGAAGAGGCACTAAGCTCAACATGTACATGTACAGGACATTGTATTGGCTGGGGTAATCGTAGCACGCACATCATCGTCAGCAGAGATACAGCAAATAGCAACAATACAGCACATCTCCCAGTTCAATACTCTTTCAGCTATTCTTGCGGAGCTCAACCAGATCGAGCATAACAGCATTGGAGACAAGAATCGAGGCATGGACCGAAACAGCCAAGAGCAATTCAATTTGTACATCAGCATCATTTAGCGCAGGATACTTCTCGCTGCTTTCCATACTGTGACTATGGCGGCGCTGCACGGCAAAGTACAAAGAGGAATAATGCAAGAAATAGGTCTTCTGGAAGGTGAAAACAATAAAGATTACCTTCTATCTAGACTAATTCGAGGTCGTAAAATACATTTATCACATTTTCAAGAAGGGGACCCGGACGGATCATATGGTTTCTCACCTTTCCCTTCCATCCGCATACGTATCTCCGTCAAAAATGAACGTAACAGCTCCATTCTTGCTGGTCCCAAACGAAGGCAAGCTCCAACAAGACGAACCGAAACTTTCTCCAACTGTACAAGACTTCCTTCATTTCGAAAAACGGTTCCACATTTCTTTACACGACTTGACATATGACCATCACACGATTTGTGCAGGCGTCGATTTGCACGCTTTTGGGCCAAGAATTCACGTGGTCTGAAGTCCCTACTTACAGCCCGCCGCATGGTGCAAAACTGGGAAGAGTTGAGATTGGAAGCGATTCCCTTTGCCTTTGGCCATTTGCCTATTGGGATGGGGGGGGGGGGGGTATGAAACGAAACAGCAACGCCGTGACATTCGACAGTGCTGTCTACAGCGTAGTAACCTACTAGTAACTGTAATAGGCAAACAGCCAAAGCCAGCAAAGGCAAAGAGAATCGCTTCCAATCACGATCGTGGCGTCGACATTTGGAGTCTGGTTGAGAGGCTGGCGGGCACTTTCGTGCAGCGTTTAGCTATGCGCCATGGGATCAGGAAGGGTCTAAGGGAAAGGTGGAACAGGAAATTTATGAGCAGGTGACTTGTCTGACAAGACGCGATTGGAGTAGGATGCCCGGTTACTGGGTATTACTATTGGTGTCATCAAGAGGCCAGGGGAATATGAGTCACGACTCTTGCCTTGGTGTCGTACTATACAGGGCTTTCGAATGTAACGATAACGTCGCTGTAGCATGTCGGGGGTCCACGGACCACACTCCACACTCCACAGACCACAGTGCACCAGCGTTCGGTATGAACTACCGTCGCGGACATGGAAATCCAGTCGATTGACCAGGGCCGGCGCCCTCAGCGCGTACAGAACGTCGTCGTTGCATGCAGCGCACATGTTGATACGATGCGACCAGCAGCAGCGCAGCGCGTAATAATGCATGCCATGGCTGCATGGCCAGCGCCCTGGGGCCGCTAGACGTGCGACCGGATTTCCATGTCCACGACAGTACTAGTACAAAGTCATGTACATAACCTAGATCTACATGTACACAATATTATTATAAATTATGTCATGATGCACTATGCTCCATGTACATGTACATGTGTGATGATTTCACTGCGTAAATGTAGTAGAACTGTTGGCGCCACTCGCGCTCATATAGCCTACTTGTAGGTGCTATTTTGGGAGCTGCTCTGACCACCTAAATGCTACATGTGTACAGTCATGTACATGTAGGTATTGCTAGCTGCTGCTCATATCACCTTTGTAACGACTGTAAGCAGGTATGGTACGGAAGGCGAAGGACCCGTCAAAATAATCTCAGCAACTAACCACTGCACTTGAGTAGATGTCAGAAAATATAACGTGCGCGGTCAGACGAGATGTCAATAACTTGAGCAAGGTGTCAGAACACACTATGAACAATGTCAAACGAAAGCTGGGGCCTGTGTGGGTAAGAAGATTTCCGCACTTGTGGGGACAAACAATCACCAGCATAATGAAATCCAAAGAGCTACAAGTTACGCCATACTATCCACTAACACCACCAGTTACTTTACAATCAGCTCATGCGATGACATTTTAACTTGTAGCTCTTTCGTCCTCTTTTCTTCTTATAAATTAATCTTTGGCTCTCCACCCGAGTCTAATACTGAAGTCCACTGCGGCATCAAGAATGATGGTCACTCCACCAATGCAACGCCCGGACACTCAGGCGGTCACGGCGGACAGTGGATGAAACTAGGTAGAAGAAACCGAATCAAGTCAACCTGGACTGAGCTGCCTGCCTTTTTATCAGCGATGCACAATCCACTCAGCTTCTCAACGTGTTCGCTAGTTCAGTCCTGATGTCCGTCTTGTGTCCGTCAATGAAGAAAAAACTTGCTTTTGAAAGGTCATCATGCCTTCCCGTTCATTATTGTCTCCGTGAGGTGCAGAAAGCGAAGGTGAAGCGTGGTCGTGGTGCACCGTTGGTATGCAGAGCATTTTGATATCTGATCGTGCCTACATGTATGTGTATGTGTATGTGTATGTGTATGTGTATGTGTATGTGTATGTGTATGTGTATGTGCATGTGTATGTGTATGTGTATGTGGTGAAGATGTTGTCTACAGTATACTATGCACGCTTTGTCAAGACTTGATCTGTATGTACATGTATGTAGGGGAAACCGAGGGGCCGGCGCGGGAGCGGTTTCAGGAACACTACCAGGACGGGCGGAAGATGGTGGAGAAGGCTCCATGAGCTACCCAGCTACGAAACCCACCACCGAGGATATCTTCACACATCATCTTCTCTTTATTTCAAAGTTTGATATTTGCTGAGTCGAAGATTTGATGGACTTCTCGTGTGTTTGCAATAGACCGATCCCCTTATTATACTGGGTTCGAGCACGGGGGCAACCTCACTCGCGATCGAGCTAGTTTTTGAACGTGACAGCATCTTTGACAGTGTGTTTCAGGTTTGTTTTGGAATGTCTTCTGCTTAGTTCAAGTAGTTTGCGATGGCTTCGAGCGGTGCTAAACCTCCTGCTGGTAGGAGCAGAGTCTCCGAGAGAGACATGGACTGTGATGCCGCTGCAGGATTTTTTCAAGGCGCGGGAGGGAACGATCTCGGGCCACAAACAGGAGTATTCCAGAGGTGAGTTTTTTTGTTGTTGAAATATTCGAATCGCCAATCGTGTTGTGAGATTTATTTTGTGCCTAGGCTACAGCAGACCATATTATTGCTTTCTCCTTGCGATCGGTGCTGAAGATAATAGTAACCTTTTTCTGGTCTGTCTTTTCCTCTCCAGAGCCATCTTCTATGAAGGCAACCGTGGTGCTGCCAAGTCACCAAGTCACGATCAGCAGCCCTGAAGTGGAAAAATCGATTTTCCAACGATCTGGTTGGACATCAGCCACTAAAGTACTTCTGATTTGCCTGTAGTGACAACAGCAGCCATCCTTGGACACCTTGCAAAGACAGAAAAAGCCACTGGTGGAAGCGACTGCTATGAGGTGACGATAGCAGTGCAGTGGTGATCGCTGTTTTGTCAAGTCGAAGGGCTAGCCAACCCAGAGGAAGCATAAAAAAACGATGAGCAGTGCGTGGTATTTGTTGAGCGTGAAGAGCTAGAGGAGGACAGTGCAAACACATGGACGGAGTGGATGGTGTTTGAAGAACAGTGTGCTGTGTGCCGGCTGGTGGTGATGGTGGTCTTTGTCAGCATGTATTCGTGCTGCTTCTTGTGCTGGAACACTTCTCGCCCAGGAAGGCAGATTGCGTGCTCCCTGGCCCTCAGTTGGCAATGGGGCATTTGTTCCAGGAACATTACCCCAGAGCCAATGATGAGTCGTACCTTTGAAAAGTCGAAGCTTGCTGTTAATCGCAAGCGTAGCGCAGTGGATTCCTCCCTCTTCGAAGCACGAGGGCCAAAGCTTGCCGCTGTCTGCAGCAAAGTGTGTGTGCGGTTCTTTCGAACCTATGAATATACCCCCCTGCATGTTCAGAGTGAACTATTTTCTAGTATATTTAACATCCTCAACCCGCCACCACCATGCGCCCTTGGATCGAACTAATGCACGAAGCATAAACACACCAGCACAGCAAGGACACTTCCGTTGACAGATATTGTTTACGCCTCTAGACCGCTGTTTCTTTTCTTCGAGCTCATCGTTAGAGGAGGATAGCAGCAGGATACTAATGATGATATAATATAAGATGATAGACGGTTTATGGTCCGATATTGATGATTGAAGATCTAAGAAAGCAATGACAGTGATTGCGAAATGGATAATATTATCATGATTATATGCCAGTCTGGTAATGCGTTGTACTAGTGGACAGTATTGAAATCATCACTGCATTCGATGCAAATATTGGTATACCTTTGGTTTCAGTATTGGAAAAAAAGAGTAAGAGAACCTGGTTGATTTGGTTGCATCTGCGACTGGCTACCGGGTGTTGTGATCAGCAATGTTACCATGGGAGAAAATAAGAGCGCACGGATCTGTTGGGTCTTGTTGTGCCGGTGCGAGAACCCTAAGTGCATGGCAAAATAGAACTGTTTCATCCACAATGCAGAATGTCTTGCGGTACATGGCATTGATGACTGAACATCTCGCCAGCTCGCCCAAATGGGGATCATGCCCAAACGGAGGAACAAGACATCTTTCCAGCTCAGCTAGCTATAAGTATATACCGTGAAACGGATGATTAACTTGTGCCACGCATGACAGCTTCTGTTCCATTCGGCCCAGGCTTAGACACATCAATGCCAATAGCAGCTGATCCTCCATTACATGCTCATTGGCGATTTACGGCCACCTCCAACTGTATCCGCCGTCCCTCAGCTTCCGTCTTCGCAGATGGCGCTCGGCGCAGTACATTTTCTTGGCTAGGCTCAAAAAAGTCCCACAGAGCGGTCCAAACACTTGAAGGTAAACCAGTCAGAAACTGGAGCGGCTCAGAGTCATTCTTTATGTTATTGTACGTAAGCTGTTTTTCGGCTTTCTTCACCCCATCGTCCAACTGCTCCACGAGACTCTGTACACGAGCTCTACTTGCTGCCAACTCCTGATGCAGATGCTGCACTTCCATTACAGAACCAAACTGCACTAAGCCAGGTTCCTTTCCAACTCAAAATGCTGTTGCCTCTCAGCAAAATACTGGTTTGCGAGCATGGGGAGCTCGTGATGCAGACGCTGCACTTCCATGACCGAACTGCACTAGGCTCAGCAAATACTGTTTTGCGAGCATGGGGAGCAGAGCGTCCAGACTCCACTCTCTTGCGAAAAGCAAACCTGGTACCGTAGGACAGCTGTTTGGTTTCCTGGACTCATCCTGCCCTTGTAGAGCTGGGCAAAACGATTTCGACTTCGGGATCGAAATGATCGCTGCAACTCAAATATTCAGAGTGACCCTAAAACTACGTCCTTCCTCAGGGGGAATAGCCTGGATCCGCTTGCTCCAGGCCGCTGTGGCTCCACACGAGGAAAGGAGTGAAATGACTTGTTTGCTTCGTCCTCCTGTTCTGACAGTGAGGAGCGCAGCAATGATCCTGAGAAGGCATCCTGAAGTCGTAAAAAGGAAGATCTAAACAAAAACAAAACAGCTCAAATCAAAAGTCCTTGTGGCATTTTTTGTAGACAGGCTTGCACTGCGTGTAGATTTCGCGTGCTCTGCACTTCGCATGCGAGAAGTCACGCACAGCCGAGGTGAGGTTGGTCGCGTGTGTGCAGCAGGATCCCACGCGACTGCGGAGTTGCCCCCTTGCTCGAACCCAGACAATAATAAGGGGATCGGTCTATTAGCAATGCCCTACCCGACATGGTTGGTAGCAAGAGAACACATTTCAAAATCTCTCAACAAATGTATATTTGCATGGTGCCCAGTCGAGGTAGGACAAACCAGCAATACTAGTGCATGTACACTGTAGTGTAGGCGTGCTAGTTTGTCCGTGAAATGTGTGGGGTACAGTGAGGGCTGGCAATCGCTGATCTAAGTATTGTTGAGAAGTAACACGTTAGTTTGAGAAGTTTGAACATTGAATGTCACGAAATGTGAGTCACCCAATATAAACTTGGAAAGTGATTTGTTCGTTTGTATGTAGTCACTTCTTTAAAGTATTATTATTGTATCAGTTTATTGCATTGACGATAAACTGGTGCTCTATAAGCATAGTCGCGTAAGAAATTTGAGCTCAATTATAATTTTCTAATGATGAATGAATTATATGAATAAATGTCGCGGAGACAACAATTTTAATAAAGCAATAAAAAGAACTAACTCTGCCCTCATCATTATGGAAAACATTTGACATCGCTGATGCATGATGATGACGGCAGAGTTAGTTCTTTTTATTGCTTTGATGAAGTAATTACCATTACTAGTACGTGTTTGCTCTTTTGCAAATTTTGCACGAAATGAGTGAATGTATTCTTGTACAGTGCTCGTACTACATGTAGTTACACCTAGACATTACCATGGCTGTAACCAAGAGTTCTACAACTTCACAATAATATCCGGGCGGTCAGGGAGCGGGCACTTGGCAAACTCTTAGGTGTGTACATTTTGTTGGGAAAGGCCAGCGAAACGGCGTATGACACCACTATTTCCACTAAAATTCGTCCCAACGGTCCCTCGTTGCAGTAACTTTGGATAACTTTGGATAATTGGTGTATGAGTATAGTACTTGCGCATGAAGACCAGGCCGAAGCTTTAATGTTTGGATGGCACTGCGAAATTCCTTGTTTACATACAGTCTAGTGATGCAATAAAAGGAAGTGAGATTCAAGCTGGTTTCCTTTTGCTGCTCAATGTCAGCTCACTTTTGCTCACTGCATCCCGTCTAATCACTAAGCTGTGTCAACGAATTTGGCCGTGCAAAAACCCTGATTTTCAGGTGCTCTTGCTAGCACAGCTAGCGTGTAAGAGATCCGTCTACATTTGCGACCAAAAAATCTGGTAATAGTGCGCTGGCCAAAGCTGTGGCGCTGGTACACGAGCGATACAGCACACCCTACTTCTATTTTTCACCAGAGGTTAACGTTACTTGCCAGTTCTGTTGCGTTGCGCATATCTATGCCAATGTCTGATCGCTTGGCTTGATCTTGAAGATACATGTATGTTCTGTAGGCAATACACTATGATATGCTTACAAGGGCCAGGGTCTCAATGCTTTCAGTTATGCTTTGCATTCAGGTAGACGTCATAGGATTGAACGAGGCCATTTATGGGAAATTGAAGGCATTTGTAGCGTTATACGACTGGAACATGGATGCTTCAAATGGCGTTTTTTGTTTTTGGCCACATTCTATGGGTCTAATCTTCGCCTCCCATGCTGCTGTATCTGCCGGATTCATTCTTAAGTGTGGTGGCATTCCTCTGCATGTAGGAAAGTCAGTCTGAGAGCGTAAAGCTCGGGGTTCAACGCAGTCATACGTAGGACATTTTTTACTACGCTCATGGTACTGGAAAATATTGATGGCCAGTGAGCAGTCAGTGCGCACATGCGCGTAGTAGCCACCCTACTATGTGGTTATGTAACGCGTTACCTGATGATCTGTCATTATTATCTATTGTTACGGCACGCTCAGACTACCAAGAACCCCGTCAACCTGTGAATGACATTCGCACCACCGATAAACTAACATTACTTGTGCAGCTCTCACCACAGCACTGAGAAGGGGCTTTCCATTACTCCCAGCCCAAGCACCTTTCTTACTGTCGGAATGCTGTTTCCCCCGCAACAGCCGCAGCAGTAAAACTTTTCCGCCGGCAAAGTGTCAGTAATGTCAGATGACCAAATCATCTTGGAACTTCCCCGTTCCTTCACTTTTTACCGGTAGTCTAAACTTGCCCTAATGCTGTGCTTAGTGAAATCCTAGCCTGTTCGTTCTGTGGCGCCCTGCAGTGCTGCTGTAGTAGACGGCAAGTAGAGATGCATCATCCATTGTTGACATTCTGAGCTTCATCGTATTCCTGTCCTTTGTATTCTGTTCTCTGTTCTGCAGCTGAGGTAAATGCTCTTCTCAACATGCATGGGCAGCATGGATATTACCATCTGACATCTCGATCGTCTTGATATCTTATCAATAACTTGAGCAAGGTGTCAGAACATACTATGAACAATGTCAGAAGAAAGCTGGGGCCTGTGTGGGTAAGAAGATTTCCGCACTTGTGGAGACAAACAATCACCAGCATAATGAAATCCAAAGAGCTACAAGTTACGCCATATTATCCACTAAAATCACCAGTTACTTTACAATCAGCTCATGCGATGACATTTTAACTTGTAGCTCTTTCGTCCTCTTTTCTTCTTATAAATTAATCCTTGGCTCTCCACCCGGGTCTAATTATTCTAATAATGAAATCTACTGCGGCATCAAGAATGCTGGTCACTCCACCAATGCAACGCCCGGACTGTGGATGAAACTAGGTAGAAGAAACCGAATCAAGTCAACCTGAACTGAGCTGCCTGCCTTTTTGCGATGCACAATCCACTTCAGAAGTAGATTTTTTCAAGTTGTACTTCTCAGGGGAAATTGTTTCAAAGATCGTGGGCTTCACGAATGCGTGTATGGGTATGCACATATCCACTAGAAGAGATCATATGCTAACAAGAATGGACAATGGACTGAGACCAGTGTTGCAGAAATTAAATCGACTTTTCCAACTTTCAAACTGGCATTATGTACATGTAGTAGTGTGAGCATTATAAGTGGCATTATATTCCATATTATGAGCATTGCCTTTAGCATTATCGCAGCAAATAACTAGCATTACCCGCCCATGCCTACAGGAGATCCCCTCGACAGGCCCAAAGCCTTTGGGAAATCCTTAAATATAATAAAATACAAAAATACAATCCACCCGTGTAGACTGTGCGGTCATTGTAGATAAAGATATGGTGGCTTCCGTCACGCCAGTGGGCAGGCCCTGTCGCGGGACTTGCCACACTCTAACTATTCGTCCTTTGGTGATGAACGATGGTCTCATGGGTTTGCAAGCACCGGCGAGTGCTTTGTTTTATGCCCAGAGTCACGCCCATATCTTAAGCCGTTCTGCCATACTCATATTGTTGTTTCGCAAGGACAGTTCTACCTGTGTTTGCTGGCCCCTGTACCAAGCAGAATACCGTATTGACCGGGAAATGTTCCTGCACAAAAGGGCGGTGGATCGAACGTGCATCCTGTGTACAAGCGGAATAATGTCATATCAGAACAGTTTCCGCTGCCCCGCGGGCGTCCGGTTAAGGAAGGTTTAACTGTATCTAGATTGTCGATACTTGTTTCTGGAAGCATGATCACGATGTCAGAGGTGGCTGATGCACCTCTGTGAGTAATGCAAAATAAACATTGGTATGGTATGGTATGGTATTGATTTATTTGAATTCGGTATCTCAACAGTACATTGTACAACTTGGGAAGATCCGAATGACATAGATACATAAACATAAAAGTGGAGTA